AGAGAGGGCACTTCCAGAAAAAATCCGCCTTCCTGCCCCGGCTCGTAAGCTGAAGCGGCTTGGGCTTTTGCCAGAGACCCCGGCCTTCGTGATAATGGGTGAGATGCCAGTACTTGGTCTTGGTGACCTTGCGTGGGTCTGTGCCCTGCACTCGGAAAGGGCAGAACTCACACTGAAATACGCCATGTTGTGCGATCGCAGCGCCGTCCTCCGTGTGGAAGTACGCAGGCTTGCGGCGAGCAGGCCGCACCGCGTCAGCATCAGGTGTCGGTGGCGCAGGGATGCGGAGCTCGGCTGCATCGGCTCCATCGGCCGCTCCGGAGCTCGGTGGGTAAGAGCAGTCCTGAGTTGGCTGTGTGGCCGGCCCAGTGCGTGCACCGAGGTCCCGCTGTGCTGTCGTGGCTCATGCCCCTGACCCGAATCGACCTTGCGCCTCTTGCTGCTCCGGGCTGACCACACCGTGCCTGTGCGAATCGAAGAGGCCCCGGCGGAAGAGGGAACGCCACGAGCAGCACGCCCAACCTGCGTTGCCGGGGCTGTCGGCTGCACCTTGGCCTGGGAAGTTGACTGCCTCGAGGAGGCTGCACCCGAGGCTCGCGTCCATTGGCCGCTCGCGCGGGAAGCTTGCGAGGTTCGGCTGCACACGGAAGCGGCGCCATCCTGAGCACGGCCGCCGGCACGAAGATCGATAAGCTGGCCCGGGCTCGGGTCAAAGAGCTCAGCTGGGTAGCTTGCATCAGAGGCCGCAGGCAAAAGCAAGTCAACATGCTTGGGTGTCAGCCACAGGGCTATGGTCTTTGCCCGCCGGTTCTCCTTAAAGGTAAGGGTTCCAAACCGAGGGTCCCTAGGCACCACGACAACACACACGTTGTAAATCCTGGAGAGGGCCTTAATCTCTAAGTTGCTGGCATAAGCACTTTCACCGGCCGCTAACTTGAGGTAGGCCCTGAGTGCAGCCGCGGGCATCGCGAAGCTTTTCATGGTTCGGCCCGTGGCCGTCAAACTCAGGCAGATACTGCTCAAGGTGTTTTTCGATGTGCTGGTTGGCCTTCGCCCTAAAATCCCGATGGCAATAAGATTTGCCAGTCAGCCAATGCAACCCTTTAGCCATAGAGTGATAAAGGCAACTGCCATCCTTCGGCGCCTCCTCAATCTTGACTCCTGCCGGGAGCTGGCGGTGGCTGACCGCACGGACCTGGGCCGGCTGCTGCGGCTCGCCGTTTGCCGCAACGCTGGATGCCTGTGGTGCCTTAACCTGAGCTGACTTGAGTCCAGGCTCCTTGGGCGCAATCAAGGGAACGGCCTGGTTCCGAAGCCATGTCTGCTTGTTGCTTGGCGTCTTGACTGGGGCGATCGTGGCCCACATGGTCATCTCGCTGGCGATGCCTTCCTCAGAAACCTGGACCTGCAATGGAACAATGTCCCGATCTCCAAACTTGTGAGTTCCCCTGAAGCGGTAAAGCTGCTCCCGGCCAGTGCGCCGATGGTGGATGAGCGTCACCGAATCAAAGGATTGATCCAGCACCTGCGTGACTTCAGGAGGCCCCCAATCAGGAGGCACGTGCGGCAGGACCCACACCCGCGGAATTGCAGCATTCGGGTCCCTGGTGGATCCGGCGCCCAGCCGACCGCCCTGCGAAGCAAGCCCAAGCTGAGCGGACATCCTGAGGCCTCTTTCGAGGTACGCCGTGGCTGGCTCGTTGTCCGTGCGGGCAAGCCACTGAACCTGTGCTGGGATGGCGTCCCTGATGCAATCAACAAAGATGCCCCCTCGCCCGCTCACGCAAAGTAGGCTAGACATCTCCTTCTCGGCCAGGCGGGCTTTGCCGAACAGCTGTTTGCCCTGCTTGGGTGGGGCTTCCTCGACCCATCCCCACGAATCTGCCAGGATGACCCGTTGCTCTGCAGCCCATGCTGCGACGGCTTTCGCGGGGCTACTGCGAATCTCCTTCCAGCGCTCGTTGCTGCAATAGGCGGCCGGGATGCGAATGTAAACCGTGGTGGTCTTGGTCGGGGCCACAGAGACCACCGCCGCCTTGGTGCCGGCATAACGTGGGGCAGAGGAGCCCTGCGAGAAGTGCGTGGTAATCTCTTGAAGCGCAGCTGATTGCCGGATCGGCCTGGAATACGTTCCTTGCCGTCCTTCTTGATCTCAACACACATGATGCGATGCGGCTTAGTCGTGCCCCTAAGAATGGTCCTGACCGTATCAAGCTGAGCTTTGGTGGCCAGAACAACTCCCTCCAAGGCCTTGTTCTCTGGGAGCTCGTCAAGCTTGCGCCCGATGGCGTCGTGCGGGACGATCGGCACATCCCAGTCCTGACCGCGGAGCTCAAAGGGCTCAGCCTCCTCCTTGCGCCTCTGCACGGTGCGCCACTCGCTCTCGGCAGGAGCCGCCTGTGTCGGGATCCTGGGCTGCAACTGCCTGCCCCTTTGCCTTTCTCAACCCGACGGCTTGAGCCACTGGCGCTCGCCTCGGCACCGCCTGCTCCACGACCTGTGGGGACCTCCGTGCTGTCGGGAGCCTTGCGCTTTGGATCACGGACGCCGCCCTTGTGACGTTTGCGGCGCGGCTTGCTCGTCTGCCCCTCCTGGTCACCGGCTGGGCTAAGGACACTAGGGCCGCTCGCACCACCCAGCGCATCAGCAATGGCTTTCTGAATCATCTCGGTGATCAACGGCATAAGTTGAGAAACAATGCCCTCCAACAGCCTTTCAAGACCCGGGCCACCACCTACTCGGAACCCGGCTGGGCCAGACAACCTGCGGGGCCTGTGGGTCTGCATCTCAGTGGGCTGCACCGGGGCCGGGGGGAGGTCTAAAACGCAAAGGGGCCAGGGCACCTGCGCGGCAGCAGGTGGTGGTGCTTGCACACTCGGGGTGTTCCGTGGGTCAGGGCCTAAACCCCAACAAGGCGTGGGAACCTGGTCGGCAACTCGGGGCCCGGCTGGGCCAGACAACCTGCAGGACATGTTGGTCTGCATCTTCCTTGGCTGCACCGGGACCGGGGAAAGGCCTAAAACCCAAAGGGGCCAGGGCACCTGCTCGGCAGCAGGCGGTGCTTGCACCCTCGGGGTGTTACGTGGGTCGGGGCCTAAACCCCAACGAGGCTTGGGAACCTGGTCGGCCCGTGGCTGCCTCCTACCCTGCGGCGTCGGATTAAGCCTGGGGATCGGGGTCCGAGGCTCAGGTGTGTTTGCGGCGTGCACTGCAGTGCTTGTATGCAGGGGGAAAAGGTCTAAACCCCAAGGGGTTAGGGCACCTCCATTTGCACAGCGCGGCACGATCTTCTGCACCTGCTCCAAATGAGCTTCTGCAGGCTCACAAGGTGACTTCCAGGAGGGCTCGCACCAGCCATCATCACCACCGTCACCAGACATGGTCATGAGCAATTCCCTCCCTGAAATCCCTTCCAGCCGTAGTTCTGTGGCAGGACCTGACTCGCAGTCCTCGCCAATCTGCTCCGGCTTCTTTGCTTCCAACTCGGCTTCGCTCTCCTGCCTACCCACAACAGGACAGCGCGCGTAGCTGAGCTCCTCGTCCTCAAGCCCGGCCCGTGAGGCCAGCACATCGGCCTCCGAAGGAAGCCCGTACTCACACTTGTCTTTCCAAAGCATGCTGCGGCAAGGCCAGGCGCAGGTCATCGACGCGCCTTCAGCAATTCGTTTGTGTTTGCATCGAAGAATCTTTTCTACCAGATCTAGAACTTCTGGCCAGCACCTCGGCACAACCCAATGCCGATGCGTGCCCTGCCGTCCCACACGACAGAGCTGAGTGTCGATGTTAAGGGCGGAGTGCATCCGCCGCAGCATCCTTTGAATGTGAAGTGTCCAGCCTCCTGATGACGGAGCCATGGCGTGAGGGAGTTATCAGCCTTCCCCCAGGGAAAGGGAAGTTGACAGGCTCAGCTGCGTGGAAGCTTCTCCCCTTGAGCCTGACCGACTCATACACCCACGAGCAGATTCTTTCTTCCAACCCCGAGTGGCCCTACGAGCACCGAGCTTCGATGAAAGGCTCAGTGATGATTCTGAAGCACCGGATCGCGCCCTTTACACGCGCAAACCCTTGCTTGCCGTCCTCCGGAGGCAGACCGGCAGCAATATCCGTCTTGATGCCAAGAAGGTTGTTGCGCTCTTTTGTGGCTCTGTAAACTGCTCTCCTGGTCTTGCGGAGGTGGGCACGTTCTTCATGGCTTAAGACACCAAAAAGTCACGGCACGGAACATCTGCTGACTGGAGTACAAACATCTACTGCGGCTGTGCAAAGAGCCGAGCCCCAGCTGCTAGTAGACTTGTTGCATGATCTTCAAGGCAAGAACTTGTTTGCGCACTTGTGCTGAATTTAAGTTTGACAGAGCTGCTTGTCCATCGCTGAGACAAGGTCTGGACCAAGTGCAAAAATGCGGTCCAGTCTTCGCAGGCGTGCCTGAGGCTCTGCTGTGGCCTGACAGAGGTGCCGAACATACGAAGGAAGTCTTTCTGGTCTGGGAGCTGAGGCACTGACGAGTGCTCTTTCCAGCTCCTCCTTCGCACCTCATTTCGCATCGGACGACCGGACAACCATGATTTCACAAGGCCGTTTTTTTGGATCCCGAAGATCAGTATCTCCGCCCGCCGAGCCCTGAAGAAACCGCTGAACTCGGTCGTGGCACGTTGGAGCTGGACGCTGAAAGTCGCAGGTGTCGCGATCATGGATGTGGAGGAGCTGCGGTCCATCGAACTTCAGTCCGCTGGGAGTCCTGCGCAGGCATGCTGTCAACCGCGATGGCAAGCCACAGAAGAATGTACGTGGTTTTGCAATGTTCCCTTATGGCCTCACCGATGTCTACCAGCTAAAGGAGCCTGCTGCTGCTTACTGCAAATGCAGCTTGAGCCAGAGTGGCATCAAGCAACGATGTGCCTGAGACATAATCGAAATTCCGACGTTTGTCAATCTGTTGCAGGCCGTTCACTAGTGAAACCACAACTCCGTCCAGCCGTGCATGGAGCTTTCCGACCTGCCTCGCTAGTGCACCTGGCCGAGGGCAGCATCAACCTCTGCAACAAGGACGAGAATGCTCTCAGACCTGGAGGTCGTTGCTGTCCCATCCCGAAACATCGAAAATGCTGACGAAAGGACTGGCCACTCCCTGTGTCAAAGATGACAGTGAAGCGCTGCGGCGGTGTTCCCACCTCGCTGTAAGATGCGATAACTACAGACATCTGATCTTCGAAGGGCATCCCACCGTCCGAAGACCATTTACCACCCCTGGCCACCCCATGCCTCCGCCTTTTCCTGCCGGCGAGATGAAAGATGAAAGCCCATCTTTTCTTGCGTGATTTCCTTTCGCTGCGCTGGGCCGTCGGGACCGTGTCGCCGACCACAAAAGCTTCCGGCAGACTTATGCACCGGATGCCTCCCTGCCTGACGTTGCCTGCCGCTGGGCGGATGCATCCTGTCCTAGCTTTAGCCAGAAGGCCCCAAGTGTCACGAAGTTGTTTTTTGCGCTTTGCAACGGTAACGGCCGAGGGGGGGAAGACTGGCTGCCTGCAGCTGCGTGGGGTTGCCCGCCTCTGAGTGAAGCTCCGTAGATAAATGTCAGCAGAATTGCACAATATGTTGCACGGCAATGTCGCGTGCATCAACGATACGCGCTGCCGCGCGCCCACAGGATGCCGCGAACAGCTCCAAGGGGTCCAAGGTCCAGACATGAACTTCACCGTAGTACTGCAGTGCGTGCAGTTGCTGCGCCTTCGAACCGATGCTTCGGAGAGATGCAGAGAAGGACAAAGCATGCACGGCCAGTGCCCTCTTCTGACTCGTTTCGATATCCCGAAACCTGGTCGGAACTCAGTAGCGAAGTCCCGTGAAGCAAGTCTGGGCGGTTCTGAAGGCCTCGTGTTAAAAAGGGAGAATAACAACACGGGACAACACGTCGTCGTCGCTGTAGTCGCGGTAGCAGTCGTCGTCGTAGTAGGAGGAGTCAGCAGCGGAAGCAGCAGCATTGGTGGTGGTAGCAGTCGTAGCAGCAGCAGTAGTAGCAGCAGTAGCAGTACCAGTAACAGCAGCAGTAGCAGCAGTCGTAGCAGCAGTCGTAGCAGCAGCAGCAGCAGCAGGAGCAGGAGGAGCACCAACAGCAGCAGCAGGAGCAGCAGCAAACGCAGGCGGAGGAGCACTGTGGTAGCAGTCGTCATCGTTGTCGTCCTGGTAGTAGTGGTAGTTGTAGTGGTACTAGCAGCAGTTTTGAGGTTGCACATCAGGAAGCAACACTGCTAGGCAGACCGTACAGGCGGAAAAGTGCCTGCGCGCGCACGCTTGACCTGAGATGTTCTTGCTTCTGATATCTTCTGACACCGGGCATGCCACAGAACAGACTTCAGGATCGTCGTGCATGTCAAGCTGCAGCGTCCGGAAGTCTTGTGACTGCCATGCTTTTGAGTTCTGGGAGCGCTCAGTACCTTAACGCTGCACGAAGAGCATTCGCATCTGCGGGTTGCCATTACGAGCTGCAGCTGGATCATTTTGGGTCACACGTGGCTCTAGGCCGCATGCTGATTAGGCTCACATGGGCGTGGTCCGCCCCACGAGGTCGAGCGTTCCTGACAAGCGTGCACATGCACAACTGTTTCTGACAGCACCTAGCCGCGTCTCGAACTAGCTGGCTGTAATGCTTTCTGCCTAAGGGCAGAACGCTAGTTTCAGGGGCACCGTGTAAGAACCCCGGCTCAGCGATCTTCGTAACCTTACTGCAACAATATTCAGAAAACGGTCTCGGAAGAATCAACGGTGAACGCTTGGCATCATGCAACTTTGCATCAACCGCGATGACCAAAAGCAAGGCCTTACCGACATAGCATTTGCAAGTCCGGCTTCGTCGTGAGAGACCAGGCAGACGGAGTCTTAGTCTTAGCTTCCGGCGAGTACCTTCATTGAAGTGCTGAACGTGGCCGTGTGGTCAAGCACACTTTGGCTGTGGCCGCGAATTCCAAGTCAGCGGCCTCATTCCAGCCACGTGCCAGACATGAGCTTCCCAAAACCAGTTTAGGCAATGGCAACCACAACAACTTTTTGATTTTCTAGGTTCCAGGCGGGCGTGCCACTTTGGCTACAAGCACGCCGCAAAGCAGCGTCTTGCTGAGCACGAAAGCCACGTGCACGAACGCACATGTGTTGCAAGCTACATGGACAAGGTTCAGTGCAAGAGCCTGACCGTGCAATGACAACTAGACACCATCCCGCACTTTTCTGACAGCTTCGCTGCATCGTCAGCGCCGTCAAGTTGACAAAACGCCTTCGCTCTGAAGCGCGCGATGCATCATGAAATCTAGATGCCTCTTTCGGGCTATGGAGACAGCTGAGCATTGCTAGGGCTCTTCGCTGCTTTGGCTTTGGGCGTCGAAGCCTTTGGCGTTGCACCTGCGCTCGGCAGAGGTCACGGCTCCGGGCCCAAGGAATTTCAGCGCCGGCCTCCGCCTTTGGCTAAAGGAAGGAACCTTTTAACTTGACAATCTTGCATGCAGGCCAAACATACGCGAAACCAGAGATCCGAGCCGTCTGTACTCCGTCATTGCGTGCCTCGGTTGTGCAATTTCTTCGAGGTTGTCTGGGTAAGTTGCTGGGTTGGGCTGGGCTGGGCTGATGCAGCTGAGAAACTCCTTTTGAACAATCGGTTGCGACTCGGGCAGTTCCCCCAAATACCTGCAGAGCTCTGTTTGTGACTATCACCCGAAGCTGTTAGCAGTGGCACTTCACTCAAGGCGAGACGAAGACTGATGGGGCCTGCCCGGAATGCCTCCGAAGACCGTGAGCGGAGGTACGATGGTGTCCGGTGGAAGGATCTCAGCTGCCGCAGAAAAAGCAGCCTTGTTGTGGTCTCCATCCCAACTGGGGCTCATACTGTGCCAGGCAGAATCATGGAGTTATCCTTGATTCAATCGCAGAGATGCGATTGCATCACAGAAGACTTGACTGCTCCCACTGCACCCTTCTAGCAAGACGATGCAGGCCTTCAGTATGCACCGCTTCGAGATGACACAGTTCTCGCCGATGTCCACACAGGAACCTAGCCCGGCATAGCATGGAAAGAGATTCTAATTGCCAACTGCAAGACTGAGCATGTTGCCGATCTGGGCAGCGCAGACGATGCTCTTTGGCCCAATTGTCACGTAGTCCCCGATGCTCATTGGGAAGAATGCTATGTTTCCCTCACAGAACAAGCAGCATCCTACATAGTTGTTAAAATGGTGCCTCAACTCGCATGTTAATTAGTTGCTGCATTCAGCAGACCAAAACGCCTTGTACTTCTTGTAGGAGGGTCGCAGCACACAGCCATCTCCCACAATCACGAACTTACCTCGAAGCAAATTGCTCTATGCCGTTAGCCCTATGCAGCTTCAGCTTACACTTGAATTTCCACTTGTGCCCTCAGCACCTGCCTATCTTGAGAAGCTGTAGATCACCTCTTAGCACAACACCGGGCCTGACGTGATGCTGGGATGCTTGCCGTGATCGACTGCAAATCCGAGGCTGTGGCTTTACAACGGAGTTCCCCACGAGAGAGATATTCTGCGAGCCACAGAGGACTGAATTGCGACTGACCTGCATGAGAAAAAATGGAATCCGCCGTTTTGCTTACCGGCAGAACAGGGTGCAGGTATCACCTTGTTTCCAGACGCAGTCTGTATGTAGTCTGCCTTCAGCTCGAAGGTCAACCAGTAGCTCTCCGGAAAAGCACAGCTTGCGATTCACACCTTGTTGTAGTAGATCGGAGGAGCTTCCAAGTCCAATGCCAAGCCTCGGAGCTGCAGATCTGACCCCGCTTTCAATTCAAAGCTCCCTGCGGCTGAAGTGCTGAGTTCATCAGGAGCTTCCTGTGACATTCCGTGTGCCGAGGCTGGGAGCCCTCTGCAAGGAACATGGAACTTTCGTGGAGGGTTTTTTTCGGCTCAAACAGGGAGTTAAAGCAGAGTCGAGGTCGAGGGTATGTCTGTAAGCGTTTCGCGACCGGCTGGAATTTCGCTGCTAACATTATGAGCATGAAGGACTCGTAATGTGTGCGACGAAGAAATATTGACGCTACAGCTCCAACACGCTAGAGCCAACATCGAGCAGGGTTTCGCTTTGCACATGCACCAACGACTCTTGGCAAAGCAACTCAACAAAAACTGCTGAATCGGTGGGTTGTTTCCAACTGAGTTCGTTAACAAGGGCAGGTTTGCCACAAGCACCTATTCAAGTGCCTCCACAAGGAGCTGCTTTGCGGCCTCATGTCTGGCAGAGTGCACATCGTTAACACCCCAAGGGCTACATAAAGCGTTCACGGACTTGCCCACTCAGAGTCCCATCTCAGCACAAATCTTAATGTAGTCGGAAGACCTTTGCGCAACTTACGAATTAAGAACGGAAGCATGTTGTGTCTTCCGGAGGCGAAGCACAAAGGCCGAGGCCACGTGCCATCTTCTTCTTGCACATTCAGGGTGTCGACCGCCTAATCTCGGAGCTGTATGGCGGCATTTGCCCCAGAAAGCTTGAGGTGCCGACAGGTCTGGTAAATCCGGGCTCAAGAGAGCAAACCACTGCCACCTGACAGAAGAAGCCATCTCCGACTAGCACGCAGTCGCTTTGTAGCGATTGAGGTGCGCACGCTCTTCAGATTCCCGCGGAAAAGGACGTCTACTCTTCGCTGCACAGCGAAGCTGTACCTAGGACTTGGCGCAATGCTGTCGACACGAGTTTGGCGTTTGGGATGCCTCGGGCCTGATATGAGGGAACTCCGTTCCCCGGAAGCGCTTAGTTGCCATTGATTGGGTTCCCAAGCCTGGCGTGGCCCTGCTCTGTCGGTTTGGTATCTCCGAGGCGGTGCTGGAGCTTTTGTGACCAAGGTGGGCTCAGGTTGGGGTATAGTATTACTGCAGGCTGCAGCGAGCTCTCTTCGTTCTTGGTTCTATACGTATCTACAGGAAATTGCAAGCGCGACTGCCCTGCGGGTGCCAATCATTCCAAGCAGCAGGGCCTTGATTTCAAGCATGCTCTCTACTCTCTTCTGCGACGTCGTGACGTCATGCTGCTTCACGTCGCTACTGACCAACTCAGCACCTCTCCAGCCTGCTGGCGTCTCAGACTCAGACTGCTGCAACGCTTGCAGCACATCTGGTAGTCTGGGAGCTGCATGTATCTCAGTGCAGAGTCTTGAAAGCTTGGTGCAGCTCGAGCTAGCCAGAACGGATGGGTGCAATCATACTGCAAGAACCTGCAATTACCAAATCTGTTTAAACTTATGACCACAGATGCTCGATTCTGGCGGGACTGTTGCCAGAAGCGATGCATCTGTCGTAAGGACTTGTATGCAATGAACTATGCAATGACAAATCTAAATGGTTATAAGAACTTGACGCTGAGTGATGAAACCGCCAACCTTGCAGACTCTCGGCCCCCTGCCATGCAAAACACAGCTCCAGGCGCCATTGCATCTTTGGCAACCTCAGTCGCTTCGCCAACCTCTCCGACAGCTTCACTGCGCCTCACCAGACAATGGCATGCTGAGCTGGCAGCTGCGCAGAACCTGAGTTGACAACATGAGATACTAATGATGTTGTGTCTTGCCTTGTCTGGCTCTTGTCTCTCACCCTCACTCTCAACTTTAATCGGCGCCACCTTGCTGCGCTATGATCTGACAAGCTGTTCGATGCCATCCGGATGGTACAAATCATGTGTCGAACTTGAGAGCGACATAGAGCGACGGCCACGAAAGTTCGATGCCCGGCTCCTGGACATGGGCCCTTCTTTAAGGCAACAGTTGTGCAGCCCGAGACAATCAAATGCTCCTACAAGGACTGCCGCAAGCTCCCCGGAATTTCTGCTTCCAGGCGGCTCTGCAACACCACCTCGCAATTCATGTCGGCAGTATGCCTAGCAGAGAAATAACTTTGGCGCTCCTTCCTGAACACTTATTCCGCCCAACCTTCTGGGAGTTGTCCGGCAGATTTCCAGCATTTCGGCTGAGGTACCTCAGCAACCACTTGGGAAGAGTTCTGAGGACTCGAATCTCTTCGGCTACTGTGCGTGAGTCATGGCTGCTGCCGAGAGCGGTGCGGCGGGTTGGCTGTGACCACATCGAACTTTCCCAAGGACTCGGCTGTTCGCTGCGTACACACACACGAAAGCTGAGCTCGTGGCTGAGTTTCGTCACTGAGGAATCTTGGTCTCGTAGGTCTGCATGCCTGCAGATGCACCAAGAGTGGCTTGAATGAGAATATCAGCATCTCAGCCTGCCTTAGCTCCACCTCATCCTGAACCTGCAACATCCCAAGCACTGAAACACGAGGAAGGCAGCACCGCACCCGTCAATGTGCCTGACACATTCGGAGCGTCCTGCGACAAAGAGACACGCTGACCTCTTGAGCCTGCATTGAAGGCTTCAATGCAAGGGAAATCGTGGAGCTGTTGGACGAGCTGGAGTCGAACACACCGCTTCTGTTGCCTCCAGCATGGTGACCTTCGCAGTTCCACGCGGCTGCTGCGCCAGCCAGGCGAGACCTTGGAGGGCAACGCAAAACGTAAGCCAAGTCCTACTTGATTGACTTCTTTGACAGCCGAGAAGTTTCTGCGCCCTTTCGCTAAGTCTGTAAGGCTTCGCTCCGAATGCTCTTGTAGCCACCAAACCACTGCAGCAATTGCATTGTCAACGCATGCTACAAGTAACGAACAAATCAAGTGCAACAAGTAAGGAGCAAATCAAGTGCACAGCGGTGGCAGCTTGGCGAATGGCCTATTGTCCCAATACCAGAGCCCAAATCTAACCTCAGCTCGGCATAGCTTAGCATCGGATGTGGCACCCTCCATCGTTAGCGATTTCGATTCAAGACAGTTGGTGCTGGCTCCTGCAATACAAGTACTGCTAATTACAGCGTCAAGAGGCATGTGCCTCCTACTACTTAGTGCTGCAATCAGCATCCCACATTCCACAAGATGAAGGCATTTGGCATGCTGATTCGTCTACTCCAGCAACTTCTCAGACTTATCACGTCTTTCACGCGGCTGCTTTGCCATAAGCCACTGGTTCTAGTCGATCCTGACATCACAAATCAGGCTGCTAGGCTTCGGGCAAGCTGTGGGCCTTCGGGGCAGCTTTGAGTGCATAGTGCGCGCAGAGGATGTCATCAGCGCAGTAGCGGTAGCCCTGATGCAAGTCAAGACCAAGCAAATGTTGACACGAAACCGAAAGGACCCTTTCCAGCCTTCGGAGCTTGCTCCCATTTCCGCTTGAAACAGCAACAAGTTTGCCTTTTCTCTCTGTCGCTGCGCATGTCTGAATAGAAATGAATGCGTCATATGACTGCTAAATAAACATAATCGATCATCATTGCCACTCCAGGCGGCTCGTGAAAACTGGCCCAAAAGTGCAAGGTGGAAGGCACTCCGAGCAATATGGACATTATCATTACCCTGTGCATGGACCCAAGCCCTTTTTGGGCTTAGGCTGCGCATTTCTATCGGCTCCGCTGCGACATCTCTGAGACTGTGCGGTGGCGTTGGCCCTCCTCCTCCAGTCTCTTCTTGATGCCTAAGCCACGCGAGCTCCATGATACTGTTTGTTGGACCCCAAACCAGTGCACCCGTGTTGCAGGATACAATGGCACCATGTGTCTCTGGGGACAGCTGCTGCAGCTCGCAACTCTCCGCCCACAGCGCCAGGATGGACTGGCATCGAACAGATTTGGCAGAGGAGTGCACTCCATAGGAAGGCTTCGAGGCTTAGATCCCACCTTGAAACCCGTCTTGGCCACACTGAGCACCTCGCCAGAGAGGTACGATCTGATTGGCCGCGGACGTGTCTCCGTATCTATTGTTAAGCTTACAAGCAATCATCTCGAATGCTCTTTTGTCAAGCTCCCTCTGTGGACGACGGTCGAATCTGAGAACTCGCTGTGTTTCTGTAGTCACGTTTTCCCCCCCTTTCTTTTCACTACAGCTGTGACAAAACGGAGTGGTGCAGCGGATGGCTGAAGTCTAAAAGCAAAGCTCGGTCTAACCTTTTCCTTCTCAGGCACAGCAGCCTTAAGCCCAAGGGGCCCCTGCAGGTAAGCGGTTGCACACAGCACTCAGAGCTGAAGCCTAGAAGCAGCACTGAATTTACAGCACCAAAAACTCTCTTTAGGCTTCAGCGAGGCTTAGCTTTGCCCACAGCCCTCAGCTCAGCTCGCTCGTTGAGCTTGCTCCCCTCCGCCGTGATCTTGTAGTAGCCGGTCTCCAGGAGGTGGTAAAGAGCTTGAGGGTTGCCGTGGAGTTTTGTGAGCAAATCGACTATCATCGATTGGTGTTCTACCCATCGTAGTTGAACTCCAAGTCCATCTGCTCGCTCGCGGGCAATTGCAACTTCGAGCGCCGTGTATCTGTCTGCTGCTTGGGCTCCCTCCTTGATCACATTATCATAGACGCTTTTAGCGTCTACAATCGTCAAGGACTCCCTGAGCTTGACATCGCTGTCGGCCTTCTGCAAAACGAGGTCCGCCTGGTGCTTGACGTCGCTTAGGAAGCTCTGTAAGTCGAACTTTTCCTCCGTGACGTCGTTGAAAATGGCCTTCGTCCACATAAGCTCTCCCAAGCCGCGGTTCAGGGCTTGTGTCTCTGCTGCTAGCGTCGAAGGGACCTTTCTCCTGAGCTTTCCGCTTTTCCACCACAGCAAGGAGCATCTCGCTGAGGCTCCGGAGCAGAGGTCCACGTCGTAGGCCAGGACGCCGACTGCTCCCTGGGAGGAACCGTCCTTGTAGTTGTCAACAGACGCGTCCGTGGCCACCCCGAAGCGTGGCCTTTCAAGCGGCGTGGGGTAGTAGGTCAACGCGAGGTTCGGCTTGCTCCGGACTTCCTGGATCACCTTATTGAGGGAGACGATGTCCTTCACGGTGAGCTTGCTCATCCTGGAGGCAAGTATGCTCGCGCCGGCGGCTGCATCTGGTCGTGCTTCCTTAGCACACCAGGCAAGTGAGCCGATGGCGGCCCTCGTCTGTCGCCTTTCGTCCTCAGTCGCTGGACTTTCGGGCTCGCTTTTCCTGCCGCGAGCAAGTCTGACTTCCGACAGCCTCTCGGTGACAAACTTATTCATATCAACAGATATGGTGAAATCAGAGGCTTGTTGGACTCGACGCCCATTGAAGGACGTGCCCTGCTCTTCCTGCTGTAACCATTTATATTTCCCGAAGCGAAAGCGCTCCTGGAGCCTTTGAAGTCGAAGCTGGTGCTCCTTGTATCCGAAGCAAAGGAGATCGTCAATCTCCACCACGATGATGCCTTCCAGCTCGCCTTGCAGGTGCAGGGTGAAGATCGTCGGGTCTAGGCGGCTCTGCTTGTAGCCCAAAGTCTCTGTGAGGTAAGCCTTGAGAGTCTTTCTCCAATGGAGAGGCGCATCAGCCAATCCATAGACGCCATGGAGGACCATGATCAACTGGCTAGGTTCCAGCCCTGGGAGACCTCCAGGAGGCTGACGCACAAGAATGACTCCCTGAGCTCGCGTAAGAGGACCTGACTGCATGAAGGCCTGTTTCAGGTCTCCACACGTCCCAGGCATCCTTTTGGAGCTCGCGACTTGCAACACCACATTGGGATTTTGCGTCACGACGGTCGGGCAGTAGCGCTCGAGCTCCAGGATATCCGGATCCTCGAACCCTTTCACGACCCAACGGCTTTTCCGGGTTGGTGCCTCGCCTGGTTGATCGCCGGGTTTTCGGCGACGGACTATGCGCGACCCCAGGACCCGGTCCTCCTTGCCCTCGGCCTTCAGCTGCGCCAGGTGCTTCTTGGATTCCTCCGGCGTAAGCACCTTCACGGCACCGCTGGCGACGATTTTAGCCCATTCTTCTGCATCCGCCTGTTTCCAGTCCTCTCTCTCATCGTCCCGGATGTCCTTCTCCATGACCTCGTCGCTCGCTATCTTGTAGATCTCCGCGACGCGGCTCTCGTAGCTGACGAAGCCGGCCTGTTCCTGTGGCGTCAAGGCTTTTAGGGCCTTCCTGGTCAGGTAGAAGTCGGAGTAGCCCTTCCACTTAGCCGTGGCTCGCTTGGAGGGTTTCATCGCCCTCCAGTCATCGTCTTCGGACTCGTCGCTGCCTCCTTTGAAGACCCGCCTCGTAGATCTGGTGGAAGCCAGGTCGTTGATGCTCACTCCCTCGGGCATCTTGACTTCCCAGGGGGAGAATGCATGCGTCCTCCACTTTTTGTGATGCCGCCGCAGGAGCCCCTCGCCGAGCACGACCTCCCAGTGGTCTCGGTACGGGCTTGAGCTCTGGTACTGCTTCGTCAGGAAAACCTCGGGCTCGGGGACCTGCTCGTCGGCGAAGAGGTCGTTGTGCGCGAAGTAGGGGTTTGAAGTGTTGTCCTCCTTGTCGCGCACCGGCCCGTGATCCTGACTGATCCTGGGCCGCCTTCGCTGTGGCAGCGCGTCGTCCAGGACGTCATTGCGGTACGCGGACTCCATCGCTGCTCGTAGTCTGCTCGCAGAGCCGGTCGTGGTAGTCGATGGCGTCGTAGAGGATGCCGCCGGTGCACTAGACGCTGAAGCGGCGGTCGCTGCCTGGGTCGGCTCTAAAGCAGATTCGCCCTCTGGCTCAGTGAAGCCTCCTGCAGCTTCCTCGGTGCTTGGAAGAGGCACGGGTGGCTCGGGTTCCGTTGGCGCCTCCGGCTCCTCCTCCGGGACCAAGGGTATGTCCAGCACTGGGGTCTCAGGTTCCTCTAGTCTGGGTCTCGGTGCTCCACGAAGTGCTCCTTCTCGGTCCACCCCAGGGCCTTCTGCTTCCTCTGCAACTCGAACAACTCCTTCTGGAAGAGGGTCCATAGTGTGGTCCTCTATCACCTTGGCCTTCGCCCGGTCGAACCTCGCCTTCAGGTCGTGGAAGACGTCGTGCACCGCCTCAATGCCGCGCACTTCTTCGGAGGTTCCCGGTCTGAGGTGCTCATTCGCGACTTTCCAGATGCGCCCTTGCATGTTGACGTAGGCGTTGGGGCCCTCCGGCATCAGGACCACCGCGGGCCCGACCCATCCGGGCTTCAGCACACCCTGGCTCTTCCAGGACCTCCAGACGAAAACGAGCTCGCCTGGGCCAAACTGCCGTTGAGTGCGGCCTTTGCTTCGAAGAGCCACCTTCACTGCCGAGGACGTGTTCACCTCGGCAAAGGCCTTTTGTGCCGCCCTGCTCGCGCTGAGCAGCTTGTGCAGGTCCGTGCCGTGGTCGAGAAGAGCGGGGTCCACAGCCTCATCGGAGCACACCTCTCCAACGGTCCTTGGCAGATGTCCAAACATCCTTTGCATTGGGGAGTATCCAGATCTGTTGAACATTCGATTTTTGTTCGACTCGGTCTCCCTGAGTAGCAGCACCCAGTCTGAGTGCTCCGAAGGAGGTAGTTCCCATCGAGCCTTCTCGAAGAGCTGCTTAAAGATGGCTCCATGTCTCTCGGTGCGTCCTTGTTGATGCGGGGCGCGTGCTCCTATCTGGTGCAAGACGATTCCTAGCTGTGCGGCGCGGTCTCTGAACTCTGACAAAAATTCTGTCCCTTGGTCAAGGATGATAACGCTAGGGTAGCCAAGTAGTCTTCCCCAACTGCGCATGAAAGCAGCCCAAACTTCACGTGGCTCTTTGCTTCGCACTCGCTCTACAAGTTGAAAACTGGTGCCCATGCACACCATGTTCAGCAGCCACACTGCTTGCGAGCCATCGTGGTTAGGCACCTGCATCAGATCCACGCCCATCACAACGTTCGGGGCGTAGGACTTTGGCATAGTAGTTGGCCGGTTCCACTTCGGCGCGCGGTGTGCCTCGCAGCTTGCGCACTTGTAGTCCTCTTTGGCTCTTTGGCATACTTGACGAGGTGCGGGGCTGCTCTGCTCACGCTCAAGGCACGGCTCAGTCGCCTGTTGTCTGGGTGTCCGAGGTTGCGGTGGAGCTTGTCTACTGCCTCCTTTTCCGCCTTGCTGGGAACTCTAGCCACAGGGCCGAAGACCTCCTCGAGGATGCCGGTCTCGTCGGTGGTCTCCGGGTTCTCAATCTCGGTCGGGAGGATCAGCGCCGGCGGGGTCACCAGCGCCTTGTGGTCTTGCACGGGCTGGTCTTTGGCGAGCCTGTACTTTGCTCCATCGGAGAGGTTGCTGACCATCCCCTTGCGCCTCATAAGCATGTGACTGGCCGAGCTCGTGCCGCAAAGTTCTCGGAGTTGTCTGGCTGCGCTCGTGCGAAGAGACTTGGGGCCGGCCGGAAGCTGAATCACAAAGGAATGGTTGCGTCTCCACTGAGCCCTCGCCATTCTGCACGCCAGCTCGACCGCCTCATTGCTCTCGTCCGGCTGTAGTCGCACGAGCGCGGGGCGATGTTTTTCCCACGTTCGCCAGCACTCTGTCTCCTTGCCGGCGACCGTCTCAACCGTCATCTCGCTCTGGTGCTCAGTCTCCGTCTTGAAGAACGCCTCGATGTACGGGATGATCGCTTCCTGGTGCTCCTCCGGGGCGTCCTCAGAGAACTCGGCGTTGACGTAGAGCTCGTGCTCCTTGAGGACGAGGTAGGCCGTGCCGTCCGAGTGCCCCAGGACTCCATCTCGGTAGTCCCAGCGGTCTCTTCTGCATAGCCGGCCGCCCTTCCTGACGACCAAGAAGTCCTCGAAGAGCGGGCCTGGGCCTCCAGCCCACCTCTGCAACGTCTCCGGGCTTGCTCGCTTCAACACCCGCGAGCTCTCCGCACACGCCATGCCGTCGAGCTCGTCGTGGATCTCCGTCTCCTGCTTCACGCGGGCCTCTGGTTCAGGGCCCTCGCCGCCTGGGACCTTCGGCCCAGGAGCGCCGAGTGGAACTCGTTCATCCGCTCGATCGCCTCCCGCAGCCCGGTCACCGCGTTCTCCCAGTCCTTCTTCGTGTCCGCCGTGGTGAAGTAGTTGGCTCTTTTGCGCGTCTCCTCCTCGATGTGCTTCATGCGCTTGAACTCCGCCACCACAGCAAGGGTCTGTGTCTGGAGCGTCTGGTCCATGTCCTCGGCGTGCTGCTCCAGGGCGATCACGGTCTCCATCGCCCGGTCGTACTCCGAGCTGGAGCCGCTGCTGGGAGATTATTGTCAGAAGCTGGTCCTGCTGCTCCAGGTGCTCCTTCTCCACAGCCGATCTGCTCATGTCCTGCACCTTCTTGGCCAGCGCCGGCGGGTCCTCGATCGGCTCGGTCTCCTCCTCCAGGGGCCTGCCCGTGAAGATCGCCGCCGTGCGCGGGGAAAGCTTCCATCGGCTCCGGCACATAGCGCAGTGTACCCAGTTCATGTGACCGTTGCCACCCCCTTTGAGTGCCTGGGCCGGGTGATTGCATCGCCCGGGTGGTGTCTGCGCGGTGCCCTTCACAGCAGAGAGGGCCTCCGGTCTTCTTTCTTCCAGGTACTTCTTGTAGGCGGCTCCCTTCTCGGTTGCAGCTAGCCTCACGGGGGTAGAGGCCGTGTGAAGACGCTGCCACCCACGGGTACCGGCTGGTGCCCGGCCCCGGGTCCGGCAATGACATCCAGGGAGAGACAACCCCTTGCCAGTGCGCCCACTGCAGCACAGAGAAGAGCTTGTCGGCCAACACCCGCCAGTTGCGCTTTGCGCGGCCGCTGTTGCCCACTGGCTGCACGACCTGCCATGGTGAGCCCGCCTCGCGGGGAGGCTGGCGCTGCAGTCCTAGCGCCCGGTTTCCTAGCATCGGCTGGGTGTGCTCCAGAAGCCGCCAGCAAAGCTGTAGAGCCCGAGCTGCGCGGTTCAAACATCACCTTCTTGCTCTGTGTCTCGGCGCGGAACATGCTGCCGCTCCTACGGTCTCTGCACACTTCGGGTAAAAACCATCCCTGGCCGAAGTCTGTGATGTTAACGACAGGGTGGCCGCTAGCAAGAAAGCTCATGTCACATTTGGCTCCGACTCCTCGAAGGTGCAAACGTCCCTCCCCGAGATCGATAAGGGCGTCGAGTGCCCTCAACATGTTGACTGGAACCAGCAAAGGCACATCTTCCGAAACGACGGTAAGCTCGAGAACTCCGGAAACACCGCCGATCCCAACAGGTACTTCGACGGTTCCTATGGTGTTCGCCTTGCCGCCGATGCCGCGCGCCTCCGTCATCTTTCCGCTCCTGTACCCTCGGAGACCGTATTTTCGGAGTTCATCGAAGAGCCTAAGGAGTGCCGTGCGTCCTACCAGTCCTTCCTGTGCCGCGGTATCGATGATGCCGTGCGTGCCGCGGGTAGTGACACCAACAAACAGAGGAGGGCTCTCTTTTGCATCGTGGCTCGGCTCCGGTCCTTGTGCTCCGTCTCCCGGCTGTGCATCTGTACTTGAAGCAAAGAACGTGGCCTTTGGCCTGTCCTGGTCCGAGGACCAAAAGAAGCTTGTCCTTGACGAAGACGACGGTGCTGTCGATGCCGGGGCGCCTTGACGACCTTGTCTGCACTCTCGACTCCAGTGTCCGATCTGGCCGCACGTTCTGCATCTTGTCCTGAGCTTTATCTCCTGCATCGAAAGTGCTCTTCCATCGGGCCCGTGTCCTCGGCCGGGTCCCGAAGAGGAGGACGAAGGGCCCGGCCTCGGCCCAAAGGATGAGGATAGAAACCTCTCGCGTTTCTGCTCTGCCTCATGCTCTCCCTCACGTCCTTGTAGCTCGCCAAGACGTCCAGCAGGTCGTCTTCTTCCACGACCTCGTCGAAAACTTCCTCTAGAGCAGGCTGCTGGTAGTAGGTCTCGTCCTCGTGCTCGTCGTCCTGCTCCTCCTCGTAAGCCTGGTCCTGGTAGTAGACGCCCTGCTCGTCCCAGTCCAGGTCCTCGCTGTTCTCGTGGCCGCCTTCGTCATAGAAGGCCGCGTGCTTCTTGTGTCCCTCGGTCATGGCTCTGTCCAGTCTTCTAAGGTTGGCCGTGACCACATCCAAGGAGTAGTCTCCCCCCAGCCACGTAAGAAGCCTTGCGTCCAGCTCCTTGTCGAGGTTTGCTTGCCTGTACATCAAGTAGCCCTGGGCCTTGGAGGGGAGCTCGACCCCCTCGTCCTTCAAAGCCCGCTGCGACTGAGTGAACCTGACAAGGAACTCGGGGAGGCTTTCTCGGTGTGAACGTAACGGGCCGTAGAGCCGTAGAGGGCCATCTCCATGGCTCTCGGCAAGGCCGTTTCCTGGTACGGCTGGAAGGCATCCACCAAAGCCTTGGTGACCTGCTTCAAGCCGTCGTCCTTGGTAAGGGCCTCGATCTCCAAGTGCCGAACAGCCTCTCTGGCAGCGCTCGTTAGCGCTTGTACTAGCTTGGGTCCTCTCTTGGCCGCAGGCACGTCCGTAACTGCCTCCCACAACTGAAGGTCCTTGAGGTAGGGCTTGAGGGTGGACTCGGGCTTTTCGCCGCTCCATGTAGGCGGCGGGTCTCGGTCCTTGTAGACGAAGCCACCTCCTTGGTCGGGGGAACTTCCAGCCATGTCGCCTTGTCCACGCGGTCGGCTTCAGCGAAGCGAAGCAGCCGAAAGCAGGAGCCACGGGTTCTTCCGTCTCCTGGATCGTAGCAAGCTCCGGTGCCAACTGACAAAACGGAGTGGTGCAGCGGATGGCTGAAGTCTAAAAGCAAAGCTCGGTCTAACCTTTTCCTTCTCAGGCACAGCAGCCTTAAGCCCAAGGGGCCCCTGCAGGTAAGCGGTTGCACACAGCACTCAGAGCTGAAGCCTAGAAGCAGCACTGAATTTACAGCTGTGTTATAGCTCAGCTTAGGCCCCGCACAATACTGGTCATGATCGTCGCGCAGACGAAGCCGGTTGCTGGTGCCCAGTAAAGCCACGGAAACTTGCCTGTATCCGCTGATTTTCACCAACAGCACATTCAAATGCTGATCTGGTGATGACCACGAGCAGGGCCTAAATAGTGCGCAACTGCACCAACGAGCAAGCCCAGCAAGCCGCCCGCTTGGGTGCCAGAACCTGCTCGGCAAAAATGAGAAAAAAGGGTTGGCACACAGCTGAGTTAAAAGCTGCAGCACCCCCAGAGCCAGTCCTGTGACATAATCCAGGACGAGGTTTCTCGTAAGGAGTGTCACGTTGGAGCATGTGCAGAGAGCAAACCTCAAATCCAGATGGGCTTCTCTCGAATTGGTATCGTCATGCTGGCGACGCAGCGGTAGTGCGCACCCACTGTGCCGAATGTTATGAAAGGAAAACACACGTCGCATCGCGTCTTAAGGGAAGCTGCGGCCGAGCATCGTTATATATGATGACTGGAAGAAGGAACCGTTGCGGATGGCACACTGCGTGAAGGCCCAGGTATCGAAGAATCGAGAAACGTCCTGGTGAGAGAACTGCGGTGACAGCCTGAAATACTCACCGCTGTAGCGTGCAAGTTGACTCCGCCCAACATGCTGTCAAAAAGCGCCAACCAAACAGAATGCAAACTCCAGCACGCAGCCGCAGGTGCATGTCCTCGCATGCCAGTGCTTACACACTTGGGAACGTGCATAACAACTACCCAGCACGGCAGTGATTGCTTGCTCCCGCTGCGAGCCGAGTTTCATGCAAGCTCTCACGGGATTTGCTTTGCAGTCAGGGCCTGACGGCTGGATAATCCTGACGCGTGGACCGGAGGCTCACGGAGGCTCTCTGTGGCTCTGGAGACAAGCCGTGATTTTCATGAAGGCTCTGATTCCGCGCCTGCTCAAAAGTTCGATCGTACGAAACGTTGGTCGCAGGAAAGAGGCCAGACATGCCTTGGGTGGAAAGTTTCTGCAGTCGGTACGTACATGTACACAGCATGTACATTCCCACTTCCAGCACCAAGCGCATGCTGTCCCGACTTTGACCAGCTTGCCAGCTGACTACGAAACAAGGGCACTGTCTTCGGCGCTGGCTGCCTAATTTCGGTGCCGCTACCTGACGGCTGGAAAGAATCCCCAGCTGCAGCGAAGCAACTGTTCCGAAGCCAAAGGCGACGGCACTCCTTGCGAAGAGTAAGAAACACGCGCTGCACAAGGCACAGACTTCAGCAGGAGGCATCCTCAGGCTCGCCAACACTGGTGGTTCGGGGCGCGAATGATACCATCGGCTGTACACCCCGCAGAAGGCCAGGATGGAAGTATACGAGGCGACACCTTCTGGCAAATCGAGCCGAGGCGACGGGCTGATCTGGGACTCACTTAGACGGACTTAGAGCTATTTTGATTTAGAAAGCCGTGCCTCCCGCCCAGCTGATGAGCAGAATGGTCGGGATGATTGCAGTTTCCGGCCACCAGCTTTCTTCAACTTCATTATCATAGATGGACGTGAAAGCTGAGATGCAGCCTACAATCCAGAAGTAGAGCAGCACCGCAAATCCGAGGGGTACCAGGAGCATGCCAGGATTGGCGAGTACGACAATGCTAACACATTTCATCAAACTTGCTTGAAGAGAAAGCCATGGGCGGGCAAGATGCCGCACGTGCATGGAGATGCAGCAGTTGCAAAGAGAACATATCGTCAACGACGCACCGACCAAGAGGTAGAAACCGCAAGCCAGGTAGCGGATAGTGTCATTGTCCATTCCATGTTTGTATTTTTGAGGGGTGAAGTTGTTCCAGGGGTAACACAAACAAAAAAGGCCTGTGATCAGCCTCAGCGCCGGCAAGAGCATAGTGCTCTGAAAAAGTACTTGCTCTCCGCCAGATTGTAGTAGCTGCAAGACCACCAGTGCGCACAGGAAGCCGCCAGCAGAGCTGATAGTCACTACCGAAAGAAGAACGTTCCAGCTCACCTCACAGCTTCGTGGACAGGATCAGAAAGTCAGTTACTCAGCAGAATGTAGTATAGAGCTGTGACCAATGATGTGGAGTGTTGAAGCAACACGTGCAGTCACGTCATCATGTATCATGGAAGTCTCAGGCTATCTCAGTCCAAGCAGCACGGTCTTCTTGACTAGTCAGCCGCCGTGCGGCATCTATGTACAAGCCAGTCGGCCCGGCTGGCCTGCACAGACGGGGAACAGATTACTGGGAAGAAATCTGACTCAAAGGATAGTGCTCGCAACTTCTACTTCAGAACCCGGCCGCCGGCCTGGTATCAAATGGAGGAGCCGCGAGCAGAGTCGTTGCCGAGCCAGGCTGTGCTCTGGACGAGATGCCCAAAGCAATAAAAAGCCTCGGCAGGCTTCACAAGTTCTGTGTCAACCGCAGGTAACATACCGATTTTGAGGAGGATGATGATGATAATGATGACGATGATGGCAATGGCGGTTTCGCTCAGTAGTCAGAGGAAGTCATTCGCTGCCTCCAGCTCCCCCTTACAGCCATTTAACAAAATCAGCAAAACGCCAAGGTGCAGGAAGCTACCCACAAATGTCATCGTGCAGAGAGCCTCAAAGGACATCTTCGACAGAAACTTGGGCCAGGCAATGTGCTGAACGAACCCTATGCACATTGGGCTGATGCCGAATCTGCCCGCTGCTTAACTTGCTGAATCCCACTGCACGTGAGCATCACAACACAGTCCAGATGCATCACGGTGGGTGCGTTGCTCGGGGAAGAGCTGAAGCTCGTCTTTCAGTTGAACTCCGCGTTTCACGAGCTCGAACTTCCTCTGGGCCACCCCTAGGTGGATTGGCTCTGAACTCGAAAAACAAGCGAGCTGCGACCTGCTAGGACAGCTAGGGTGGGCCTCTCCGTCGGCCCAGTCTTACGCTGGAAGCGTTGAGACGAGGGAGATCCACACTCCGGACTGCATTGTAAACACGATGCTTGAAAATGAAGTGCAGCAGAGAGACTCTCCGGCAGTCCTGCAACTATGCGGAGCTCCAGGTTCGATTCGAGTAGGGGGCCAGACTGAGGAAATAGCTCGAGACTTCTTGCTCAAACCGCCTCGCAGGCTGGGCAGCGAGGCGATCTCCGCGTGCTCAGGTTCACATCGTATTGCTTCAGCCTTTGCTTCAAGTGGATATGTTGGAGCAATCTATGCAAGTGAGGTGTTATCAGCAAAGCTCTAGTGGGCAGTTCACGCAGCAATGCTGTCTGCACCCTAGCGACGGGCATGGCCTTCCAAGTGCAGCCGTACTCGGATAATCATGCCGTGGTCTGTCAATGTGTTCAGCCTCCTACATACTACTGAAGGTCACTGACGTAGGTCATGTTCATGAGATTCCGATATGTGAGCTCCTGCTTCTAAAGCACTCTATGCATCTCTCAGGCTACAGCATCTCGACAGACGAATAGATAGCTTCTCGGGCCACCGTGTTACACATTGTTTACTGGTTTGCGGATTGCAGGATCCATCAGAGACCTTTTTGCTGCGGCAGGAGGCATGATCGGTTGAAAGTTCACAGAATGCAATTCTCGTGTCTCTTTGCGTGCCTTCTTCAGCTGTGAGATCGTCCAGCCATGACCTGATTCAGCCCCGCCACTGTCACATGTGAGCGATGCACACTCCTGGGGCCAGAACAGAAGCGGCTCTTGGTGATGGCCAAGTCCTGCAAACGTTCGTGCAGAGTCTTACAGCAAATTCGTCCGGATCAACAGTTTAGCTGCAGTCGGAGTTGGAGGTCCTCCTGAACGGCATCAGCTACCACTCTGTCTTTGCCCTGAGCCAGCTAGCACTGTACGTCTCACTGAGGGCAGAGTGTTCAAGTGCAGTTGATCCAACAGGGCACCCAATAAAGTGCAGTCTGCATCCTACTGCTCTAAAGTCGAGTGATGCTGCCTTTGCTTGTAGGGAGGGCTTCACACAACGACAAGACGGGTTCACCGACAGCATGTAGAGCACAATGTAGAGGGGGAAGGTGGCAGAAGGTTGACTTCCAGCGACATGGAAGTGCGCATGTCAGCGAAAAAGTTCAATGGCGCGCTGTCTGACCGTCTGACCATCAGCCGCCGGTTCCGGAGCACGTCCGGCAGAACAGCTTTAGAGAATTTTGGCTGAGTGTTTTGTGAGTACCAGCATGCTTCTCGCCATGATACCACTTGCTTGTCTTTGAACAAACCTATATACACAGGATGGAGGCTGATTCGAGATTTCTGGCCAATACGAATAGTTTTCGAGGATCATGATGTTACGACCCCATGAAATAAATTGAGCAGAACAGATCCACTTGTGCGGACTTGTCCTAGCCGCGCGCAGGTGCCACGACGGTGCTAAACTACACTCAGAAGCAACGCAGCACCATGCCTGGCATCTGCGCCTGGCATGGGGGGACCTCCACCGAAAGAGATCGAGACGGACTGACCCAAATTGCCCTGATCGAGCAAGTGCAGGCAGCCTTGACCAAGAGCGCACCGAAGCCAGTAGTCCGCCGGCGCAAAGGTATCGCCGCGTTGTACCCTGACAGACTGATCAAGTTGTTTGCATCATGTAAGTTCCACAGCCTGAGCCGGCTCCAAGCAAGGGGGGCACAATCAAAGCATCGGATTGTTCCCGGTCCCACTAGTCAGCTTGGTGCCTTCAAAGGTGCTCGCGCAAGCACGTGCAGCAAGCTTCTGCTATGTGTTTTCCTGAGCCAGGAAGTTGTTTAAATGCGTCAGTAAGCCGTAACTCACACATCTTCAGCATTTGGAGTCCTGAAGTTAAACTGTTAAACTCTTTGCTGCTCAAACGCTCTATAGGCTGCAAGCAGCGGGGCAACGTATGGCGAGGAGCGCCAATCAATGCCATTACTTGCAATACACTGGCTGGTGAAGGCTGCAGACTGGCTTGATTTGTGCCGATACTGCGATGTTTCTGACCTGAGAGATTGCTGCGTTTGGGCACAGCGGTGCCAGATTTCTCATGTTATATCCCTTTCTATGAGGCGCAAATTGCTCGACGTGCGCACTGCAATTTGCCCTCCTTCAGTTTGATGGGACTTCTCTTGATGGGAATGAAGGCTGGAAGAGCAAAAAAGCAACACTGGTCAAGCAAGCCGAATGCGTAACGTCAACAAGAGCCGATTATAGGGTCTGCGTTCTTTCCTGGTGCCTTTGCGGAGTTTGTGTCGAAGGCACGTGTGAAACTCCTAGCATTGACACAACATCCCGGCTCTCACCAGCGCTCTGCAGAGCTCAGGCCGACCTCGAAAGCCTCTTCAGGCCTGGCAACCCAGGGCTGCGTGCACGGAACTCGGCACTCATGGCTTTCAGGTCCCTTCAGGCCTTGGCGATTGGATCTCGGAAAGACCTCCAGACAGCTGCATCGACTGGTGAAGGCTTCAAGAGTCAAAGCTCGGGGAGACAAGTAACAACCAATCCTTTACCTTTGTGTCAAAGAGGGCATGAAGGTCCGTTTCATGCGAAATCGTGCTGGGATTGACGGCCCTATGATCGATCAATGCCCCACCAGCCCTACCGTGTGTTGGACGAGAGCTGAACAGCAAACATAAGCAGGCAGTCTCTTGATGGAACGGTCAAGGCTTCCTTTTGAGCCTGCGCATCCCTTGGGGAGTCTTCGGTTGATAGCCAATCACGGGCCAGCAGTGGGCGCATTTCAACATCCTCCTGCTGACGTGGCAGTCGACGACTAGAACATTAAAACCACTAGCAGTCAACTGCGACATCTGCGAGAAACATCAGCACACGATTGGGTGTTGATCTCACAGACCGACTTTTCAAAATAGTATCTGCAGCTCTTGTCCTGCATGATGGCTTAAATAATTGAGCACGACATATCTGTAAAGTCGCTGTAGAGCCATCGGCGGGATGGCGTTGTAGGTGTACGAGCCAGGGGCCTTTGCTCACGGCTCATATCGCACGTAGGTGCTACTAGAGATGTACATCATATCGACTTGCTTTTCAAAAGCCTTCTCGACCACAGGCCTCTTCAGTTTCTTCGTAGGGGTTAGGAAACCCTGCTCCTCGGAGAAGTTTGTCGGCAGGATCATAAACTTCTGAACTTTGAAGGCATTGTTTGGGCATATCTTACCGTTGCAGTTAGCAGAGTTGATGGCCAGAGTTATCTGCTCGATCCAGAATCGATCATCCATGGCTTGCATGATCGTCGTCACTTGTGGATTTACCCGAGCAGCCCCGGCATCCAATTGATCTGTGCCTGCACTCTCGCCGTTGGCGTCAACGGCCTTCAATGTCACTAAAGCTACGTTGTACTTGCGCTTGTCACCAATGAGCATGACTTCGTTAATGCCATCGCACCAGCCCTTAATATGGTCTTCAATCGGCACTGGTGCGATGTTTTCACCACCTGCGCCAATGATTAGCTCCTTGTATCGTCCGGTGATCTTGACCATCCCGGTTTGTGTGATCATTCCCTTGTCGCCCGAATGCAGCCATCCTTCTGCATCGATCGTTTCCGCAGTCTTGCGCTCGACCTGTCGACGCTTTGTTACAACCGTTGTGACTTCACTGCAGGGCCAGCACCTTCCAGGCTTTTTAGATCAGACGATTACAATCTGAAGCCCGCCTGAAGATGAGACTCGGAACAGTTCTGCCGCCTCTTATCATCCGGGGATAGCAATCTGAGCTACTCGGGGTGCGCTTGAAATACCTGCCATCTGCTCGACAGTAAGCTTGATCTTTGAGAACGAGTTGGGACAGGTCCGTCTAGGTTTTGTATGCAAGTAGCCTGATCACCACACATCACCAAACCTAATCCAGGAACAGGGGCTGCAACTTGAACATTCACAGTTCAGAGTCTAGGTCTTTGAGAAGCCGGCCTGCCTCATTCACGTGTTCGGCACCCAAGCTGGGCTGCGCCAAGTAGCCCATCATGATACTACGGCCCCGGAAACATAGCTCTCCCTGGAACTCTTCGTCAATGGAGTCGAGAGAAACCGCTCGTGGACATTCCTCCTTCCTGTTCATGTCCGTTGAATCTACCTTGAAGGCTTTCACCTCCACTCCTGGCAGCTGATAGCCGCAAGATCCCCACAAATGGGCCCTGTCCGTGGAAATTGTGCAGGCAGCACAGCTTTCCGACATGCCATACACTTCATTGATGTTTATGCCAAGGGAGCCGAAGTACTCCAGGGTGTCCACCCGGATCGGTGCAGCACCGGTGACTGCGAACTTGAGCTCATCGAGACCCAGAATGCCCTTGACCTTCTTGAGCACAAGCTTGCTGGCAGCGCCGTATGCAAAGGGCTCCAAGCCGTCGCCTCCCACGCTCACACACTCTCAATATCTACAAAACATCCCATCGCTGGTCTGGTGTCCTGCAACAATGACAACCCTCAAGTCCAATTATTGAATGGTCCAAGTCGATACGGGCTCATGACATCCACCCTTCAACTTGAGTCCAGGCTCGTCCCTTGCCCCGTGCCCCAGCTCTTCTCAGCTCCCAATTCTGAAGACTTTCAGCCATTAGCCCCCCCCCCCCAACTTTAGGTCGTTGCCGGCTCCCTCTCGCCTCCCATCTGACAAGCCCTTGCGTGCTGGAGGCCCTTGGCCTCGGCTCAGCGCAGCTCCGCGCAAAGCTCAGTACGCAAAGCTCAGTGTGCACAGCTCAGGCGCTTCAGGGCGCCCGGCCTTGGCCCAAGTCGAGAGCTTCTTCTTGATGCCGCTGGTAGAAGCACCCACCGCACGTAGCCTCTGCACAAGGACGTTCTTTGCCCGTTTCAGATCGCTTCACTGCGTGTTGCATGTGCATGCCGATCTCTGCAGGCCTGTCTGCGATCTTCTCCCACACCAGAGGAACGCCAAGGAAGACAGTTGGTCTCGCAAGCTTGAGTCTGTCCTTCAGGCTCCCGGCTTTCAGGTCATACGGCCTCGCGAAGTATGCTGTTACCCAGGCAGATGACGAGGCAGTCGCCACGAAGGGAAAGCACACGTCCACCATCTTTCCAGCTACATGTGACAGGGGCAGGTACGAAAGGATGCGCTCCTGCTGCGCTGAAGCGCAGAGGCCCACGTGAGATCGAGCAACCTTGAGGAATGTTAGTGCTTCGAAAACCATGCAGTCATGTGACAGCATAACAGCTTTAGGCTCTCCAGTCGTACCAGATGTATACACAAGCACGGCACAATGTCCGGGCTGCACGGCTTGGCTGCGTGAGTCAATGAATGCATCATCTTCCTTTGAACCAAACTCCATAAGATTAGACCAGCTCATAACAGGTACCGCGAGGTTGCTCCCGGGAATTTGAATGGTTTCACCTGGGGCCGGCTCAAAACCGTAGCCAACGAAGGCCTGTATCTTGCAAGCAGACGGATCCTGGCGCGCTGCTAAGGCCGCAGTGAGTCGAGTAAGCTTCCCTGGGTCCTCAACAACTACAATGCTGGCGCCGCTGTGCACCACTTTGAAAGCGGCCGTTTGGGGCGTGTCCGTGGGGTAGAGGCCTCCCACTTTACCGCCTGCGAAGCCCGCAGCCAGAGCGCTCAGCATCCACTCCGGGGAATTGAAGCCCCAAATGGCCACAGTATCAAAGGGCTCAAACCCAAGCTTCACGAAGGCCTTGGCAGCTCTGCGAGCATCTTCATAGTATTCTCGATAGGTCCAGGTCGCCCAGTCCGCATCCGGAAGCGCCGGGGGGACACCGGAATCCGCTTGCAGAGCAGGGCACGGCTTCTCAGCTTTTAGAGCCGGCCGATCACCCTTTTCATCGGCCGCTTTTTTCAAGAGCGACTGCAACGTGTGCGGGGGGCATTCTGCGGCACCAGCTGCACCACTTTTTGCTAATCGCGGCAGCACAAGGCCGTCGGGCTTGCAGGTATACCATGGGCCTGTGCCCTCGTAGGGGAAGTAGTCGTCGGCATTAGTCGACACTGGAGCGACGGCCAGGACCTTTTGCGCGCTTGCGCCACACCCCATGCTTCTACCCTGGTTGCTCCTGTCTTGGACCTTCTGAAGCTGCCAACAAAGAAGTCGAAGGCACCGACAAAGCACTCTTTTACGGCAGCGTGACGAACGTTTGCTGTGCCTAGAAGGAGTCAATGATGGCTGGCTCGGAGATGGGCATCTGTACTATGGCCTGCCGGAGAATGCAGAGGTGCATCAGGTACGCAAAATCCCCGGCACTCATTCAAATGTTGGTCTGCCCTGTCCCTTGCGTGGGGGGTCGGTGGTGAGGTTGCTACGCACATATGATGAATGTCGGAACGGATATCGATCCTGTGAAAGCGGGACATTTTGAAGTTTCCCAAATTGCCACCTAGTATAGCATGGCATGGCATGGCCTTCAAGTACTGCAATCGGGGGTTTTGCGCTCAGGATACAAGGTCTAGGGCAGCGGGTTGCGGCTTCATAGGCGTCGATGCCATGTGTCGAAAGACACCTCCCGTGCATAAGCGGGTCTCCAAAATACTTTAAGGCCTCGGGGACATGGTAATTAATCCCCGGCATGTGAACCAGATCGGGCGTGTCGAAAATACGTTATCAAGGGTTTCGCATCATTTGCAAACATCCCAATACCCGAGATGGTGCTCCAACTGCACACCAGGAAGTGCAAGAAGCTCGACCAAGTGGCTGAAATCAATGGCATCGTCCCCTGCGAACTCGCAAGAAAGATGCGGACCTCGTCAAGATGCGCGAGCTGCCTCCAAAAGTTGTCCAAATGCGAGGTCAACTGAGGATTTTGCTGCCGCAGTTCCGCCATTCTCGTTGATGCACGTGAGTGGGATCTCAACCAAATAGACCTCCGCGAAGGTGTACTCAGGGACTCGCGAAAATGCCTGTTCCGCCAGGGCCTGCTGAGGAACCAATACGGGAAGGAAGAAGCTGGGCCTGCGAAGACAACACACGTTGAAGTGAGCCAGGGGTCAATGAGTGGATTCCCTGTACCTGGGTATACGGTACAGATTCTGGTTGGTCGTGCAATGAACCGGCACATCGTAGAGTGCAGTGGCACCTGCCAAGAAATCAGACTTGAACACGATCTGGAGCTGGAACACAGCCAGATCACAAGTCAAGGCGTGCTCTTCAAACATCTGCTGAACGAGCTCGGGGCAAGTGCAATGCCGATCATACATGCCAAGACGACCAGCATTCTGTATCCGGACCAGAATCTTGAACTGTGGGCCCATACCTGCAAAAGCAGGTGTGAGTCGAGCCACGAATCGAACCACCACTGCCGCATCGTAGTTTGCTGTGAGCAGCCAGGAACACGGAGCTGATGTTTAGGGACCAAGATACAGCGTCATGGTGACTCGTAGGGACGGTGCTTACAAACGCTGTCGCAACAAGTGAGTATGCTCGTCGATTGCCTATGACAGGGTCTCAAGAAATCTTCGTGACAGCACGCTTTTGCAACCCTTTGTGCCTAGGACCTGCGCATTGATGCGAACCTGGGCACCCGCAGCTGTGGACCTCAAACGCGCTCGTCTGAGTCTCGTCTAGCCCTGCTTGAAAGTTTTGCTATCCGCATCCGGCCGGCCGTGGTGTAAGGTCCATGCATGGGCCCATGGCCGCTTCCCAACAAATTCACGTACCTGCACTCGACTCTTGCAACTCAATATGACGCATCATGGCATCCTCTCCAAATCCTCCAAAAACTCCAGTCTTCAGAAGTAGCCGGCATTTAACATGTCGCACGCGCGGGCGGTGGACAGCCGTAGCCTGGGTTCAGCTTGACCAAAGTTCACAGAGCTGAAGCAGATCAGTGCCTGCATGTGCCTGCGCCGTCAAACCCTGCAGCCTTCACTCAGAGCAGCACTTGCACAAGTCCCGCTGAAAGGTCCTGTAGCTGTCAGGGCAAAGCATCTTCTTGATCTGTGTTTGTCGCGACATGGCATGACTATGTGTCGACATCTGCGCTCGCATCCCATAAAACAGGTTGTGGTCCTGTGCATGTCAATGGCTTGCTCTCTTTCCCTGCTGGTCTGCTCCACGTACCTTTGCTCGGGCAAAGCAGATGCGGCGGCAATCATCCACAAAATCAGTCGGATCTAGTTCGTGCAATGCCCAACAGGCTTCTGGCAGCTTCGTCTTCTTCGGCACATCCAAGGGTATGTCCTGCAAGCAGGTGCAGCTCATGACCGTAAAGCTTGCAGCACATAAGAGCTGACGAGCCCACCTGCTCCGGGGGTGGGCCAACGGTCACAGATGTACCGTCCAAGTTGGCGTTTCGCTGCAAGATTTTGACCTTGCCATGCAAGCCCCTAAGGTTCGGATTGGTCAGTTTTTCGAAAGATCTGAGGCTGGATCCATGAGTGCTCCTGATTTAAAGCTGAGGACCTTGTAACTTCAAGGCACAGAAGTTCTGTACTTGACCTTGCATGCCGACTCTTCTGTGCTGACACGGTCAGGCTCGCACCATGGAGCCCTCCTCGCGGCCAAAGGTTCCCAGCTTCACACCGGTTACCACATCATTCCTGGAATCACACAAGTCTGTTACGACCTGAATCTAAGGAACAGCAACGGACTGAAACTTTCGCAGGGATTCGCAGGGGCTCTTACGTTTCCACAGTAGCGATGAGGTGCTTGCCGTTGTACAGCCTCACCTCGAGTTTACAACCTGCTGCAGCATTCTGCGCCACAGCAGCATCCCAATGCCTCTCCGTTCTGCAGTGCTACCACGAGAGCCTGTGCGTGTGCATGGAAGTGCATTGCTGCAAACATCTTTAGCCAAACAAGTGCCCACCTTTGCAACGCGTGATTTTGTGATTTGAAGCAGCGACATGCAAGATATCGGACAAGGCCTCGACAGCAGTCTTCACTACAGGTGATCACAGGTGACGTCTTTGGCGCCGTACAAATATATCGAATGATTTTTCTTGCCCTTGAAGTGGAAACAGTGGATTACCTCGAGGTGTCACTACTACACACGATGCTGAACACCGGATCCCATGAAATGCAGCCGAACTCTCAGAAGATGACATTGTCCATGCAGCCAACATAGACGTTTTTGTCCTAAGCAGCCACCACCAGCCATAGATACGTTAGGAACATGCAAGACATATCCTTGCAAAGTTCGAGGGCGGAACAAATCGGACTAGTCCGACCGGCTGCGTCTCCAGTTCAATGACATTGCTCAGCACCTCTGACCGAATTGCATGGCTAGGGAGTTGGCTTCCACAGAGTGCGTAACAAGTAGCAAATAGCAGTGGTGTCTCTGCACCGTCATGTGCCTGTCCGTTCTTGACGGTGTAGATATTGCCATCCCGACATGCCACAGTTATCCTGCAGGTTCGCAACTGACTCCACCTATATTGATTTCCAGCAGAGCCCGCTCGAACGTGCTGCCTGTACTCCACGTCGAAGAGTCCCAGTACGGAAATGAATGTAGGTACTGCTTCCAGCTTCACCTGCCCGCACAAAAGCTACAGGAAGACCCCTGTCCACCTCTCGAAGTACAACATATTCGAACCACACATGAGCGATTTCTGTGACTGGCCTTGGCTGCAATCTCCAGAGCGGAGCTGTTCAGGATGTATATCATCCTCGCATGCTTTGTCCCAAGTCCACTGCAAGCAGTGCTGAAAAGCATTGCTTATCGGAAAGGACTTTCCTGTTCTCGGTGCCAATCACCAACATGCTGACCTCAGATGGGCGATTTATGCGTTTTATCTGGCTTCCGCGAACTGTCAAGCTCCCTTAGGCCCTGTTCTGCAGCAGCCGACGAGAGGCTCATGTTTCGAATGACTCAGGTGGTTCTCTCTAGGCCGGAAGGTTTAGTCCCGCCGTGTCCATGACAAATACTTCTGAGTATCCAACTTCAGTGCAGAGCCCTCCACAGCTCAGAGAATCAAACATTACAATGCCCTGCTCCTTAGCCTCACCGGATGATGCATCGCACCATGATGCGAAGACTTGAGATCTGGGCAGGCTAGATCAAGGTCGGAACAGCAAGGGAGCAGCACGAGCAGAAAGCCAGACCTAAAAATTGCTAAAATCAATCTTACACGAGAGGGGGTGGGGGTGCCCCCCCGCGCCAGCCCGCAGCCCAGTAACTCATGGATTTTCATACCAGTTAGGGCCCAAAGTCGCTTGTTGACCCGCCTGAACAGTAGAGAGGAGGAAGGTGTGTAAACGGCAACTCCCGCAAGCTCCAAAGAGCTAGCCTTCGTGACAATGCAGAGGGTGGGATGCCAAGTCTGGGGTTCTGTGGTGCTTCTCTGGCGGCCACGGCGAGATATTCAAAATTTCAGATCCCCTGGGACTCCCACAGCAGTTGGCTCATCCATGTTCTGCTTCAGAACCTGGGAAGGGATTTTCATTTCGTCTCCGATCCTCGCGGCAAGTTCCCTCCGAATTCGAAGGCACCTGTGAAGAAAAAGGTTGTGATACAAATCAGGTGGCCTCCATGCATGTTATCGCAGTCTGTTGCTGTAGCAGATGGTCCTCGAGCAGGTCTCAACTCAGCAGCACGCACTGGATGGCATCGAGTCTGGTAGCAGAAAAAGGCCGTATCTACTATATCGTACTGAAGCAAGTCATCCGATGCAACTGAGTAGAAGAATAAAGCCGTACAGTAACTACTACTGAGTGATGCACAGACTGGCATAGAATATCCGCACAAGAGAAGGGGTCCTCGTTTGGCCTGCACGCACGGACGTACTCTGTCTGCGACTCCAGGTCCTGGCAAGCAGCCGATGGGCGAGTTTTGCAGCAAAATCAAAGGTCCCTGGAGTAACCTCCACGGCAAGAAAGTCAATCGACTGGTTGGACAAGGCTGTTCCGTTTTCACCTGTCAATTCTGATAAGAACGGCTCTGACCATCGGGGTCGTTAGCCTGAGCTCCAGGCGAGCCGCGTTCAATTTGTCGAAGCCCGCTTGGACATCAGCTCCGTCCTGGGTCAGGTCCTGTGCGGCAGTTCCCCCGCAGCCCAGCCTCACGCAGACACGGAGGTTCTCAGCCAGCCTGCCAGATGTCTCTCTCGACTGGATCGATCTCCAAAGCTGGCAGCCTGTACCTGAAGAATACAATGCACGCTGCAATGCGCTCCTGGCACCTCCATCCTTCGCTATAGCCTATAGCAGCTATAGCACATGTCCTGAGCCTCATGCTGCATCGAGGGCCGCATGTTCCGAAAGATCAAGACCTCGTCGTTCCATGTTGCTGTCCAAGTCGAAACACAGGAGCACCAACAATCGCAAATTCTCTCCGTTCAAAGGCACCCGGTGTCCGCTTGCGACGGCCAGGGTGGGAATCGGTGGATGTCCAGCCTGCCGCAATGTGCAACAATGCTTGAGAGGCATGTTGTGGAGCTTCAGCTGGGGGCCTCGTGGTAGAAGGACTGCACGGCACAGGGCACATCCGGCAGCTTGTGCTCCCATTGGATAGTTGTCCCCTGGATTCCAGGCACGACGATGAACCCGGGCCACAAGAGACGGTAAGTTGTGTCCACCTTGTACATGCGAATTCGCTTCTTCATGTCTACCTTACGGGACACACGGGACACTCACCACAACAGTGGTCGAGTTCAGCTGTCTTCTCAGAGCAGTACCATCACAAGGCGGTGATCGCCATCAGCGGCCAGGTCGGCAAGGCACAGGAACGACCTCACGTTCGGGATGCCATGCATGGGCACGAGGTGTCTCAAGACGGCTTGGGCCATCTGCGAATAGCAGCTCATTCCAGCCACTGGGTCGTGCCATGCCTCAGAAACAGCGCGGAGAGCTCTGCATTAACTACAGCGTGCCATCGTCAACGGAGCTCCACTTCCCAACCTGCTAAGTGCAGAACATCTAACCAGGGGCATTTCTTCTTCTCCGGTTCATTGGCAGCCTGCAGTCCCATGCCACAAACGTCGACACGATCTGAATCTTTCCCGTTGACAGCAGCCGATCATGAACGACATCACTTTCACGGCAGCAGCGGTGCTGAAAGGGTGGCCTTGGCATCTGATCCTCATGGTACCATGAAGACCCAAAGCATGGCTGGCCAATAAGCTCTCTTGCCGGATGCAAAAGTATGCAAACACTGCGACCGGCATCAGATTGGCCGTGTCGCCGGCCATAGAAGACGCCGGCAATTACTTGGTGATTGGGCTCGCACGGTACGGTCTAAAACCCAGTCCTGGGCCGTCTGCATGTGCCATGCCCACGCCGGGCCTGAGAAGCGAAAGAGCGAAAAGTGCACTTTTGCTTCCTGGCAAAGTCTGCCGTCAGGGCTGGAAGCGGTGCACAATTGCTTTCGCGAGGCCGGTGAGGAACAAGGCGAAGACGCAGGGAAATACTACAAGTCTAAAGAGACAGAGGTTGTTGAAGCTAAGGGTTTTGTCCAAGAGCCACCGAAAAAGCCTGTTTTATCTCCTGCAAGCGCTTGCATGAGCTTACTAAGAGGGTTTGATCTTCACAGCACCGGGATCATGCCAGACTTTGCCAAAAAAGTCCGGGCAACATCGGCCGATTTGGGTTTTAGTTTGGAGTTTTCGGAGGCTTCCCTCGCACATGCAGTCAGACAGGCAGGCGAACCGACGACAGACAGACTCGTGCACGCGGCAAGGATCTCCGAACAGGGGTCCGATGGGCATGCAGGACACGCCCTTGCCCGTCGCGGTATCGTAAATCTCTAGACAAGCTTCATGATCCCGGAAGTTCGGGAACTGGGTATGTTGACATGCCAACCTCCCGCTTCAAGCTTTGCTTCCAAGGGATGCATGGCGCATTCTGGATGGGCATCCAACGGAATCCAACGTATGCTGATTGCTTGGAAGCAGTTGCAGGCTGTCCCAAACTGCTTCTGCAGAGTGCTACGCATCGAAGTGCGGAAGTCTGGACTCTGACACTGAGCGCCAGTGCGTTTGACAAATCAGCAAACGGTGGCAGCAACCGATTGACCTGTCCGTACTGTGAAATGCCAGGAGACCCCGAATAGAAGACCCAAGCGCTGTCCCTGGCTTCGGTGAAGGCTGCAGATCAAGTACTGCTTGACAGCAACACAATCACGAGCAATGGCTTCGCATGAACTGGCCTTGTGAAATCTGGAACAGCACAACGGGACCCCTGGCGCTTTTAGCCATGAAAGTGCCCCATGCTGCGTGTTTGTGGCTGAGCTGAAGGCTAGAGGACAGTGTCTGTGTGCCCATCAACTATTCCAGGATCATGATGCGTCTGATTTGCGAGAAGACTCAAGATGGAGCAATCCGCATCATGCTCGCTGTCTGCCATATGCACTGGTGTTGGTTTACGTTTGTGGGTTGGCTCGATCTGCACACGGCAACGGCCCATCAAGCCTGACTTCACATGGCTGCACTTGCTGGATGCGCCTTTGAAAAGCTTCACGAGCATGACTGCATTTCTCGACCGCTCGCCATCTTCGTCTCGACTCGTTCCTGTCTTCCTGCTCTGTACAAGACTCCTGTACATGCCCGAGCAAGCCAGCAAGAAAACAGAGCACCAACTGCCATCCGTTTAAAGTGTGAATTCGGGCTCGCTACCGACTGCTGAAACAAGTGCAAGTGTTGATGCAAAGTCCATGGGATGAGCTCAAAGAACAAGACAGACTTCTGAAGCGAGCCTTCCAGCAATCTCGTTTGCAAGTCGGACTGGGCTTCTATAGTGCTGGAGCGGTGAAACGAGGTTCACTGTTGTCGGTATTCACAAGCTCACAACCTGCACTGCTCCGTCTGGCTTGGTTTCTCGGGGAGGGAATCGCAGACACATAGCTTAGCTCGGCATGAAGCATTATTACACTTCCGGCTGACCAGCCCAGTTCCAGAGCAACTCACACCCGCATGGCATTATGATGGCATCATGTTATTTAAGGGACTCAGAAGCAGCTTGGTGCCATGCGCTGTGGCGTAGTGAAGACTCATGCAAAATTTCTGAAGCCTGGAGTGAGATGGCGAAAGAAACGGCCTTCACTGGAACTAACGAACACGCAAGCTGTGAGCCTCTTCGCTTGTCGCGAAGATAGGCAGCGGACTCCTCGCATTGCTTCACTCAACCCTTTGCTCAGTGGACCAACTTGAGCACAGTCAGCCGCAGGGGTCGGAATATCCCGGAGCTCATGTTCAATCCTGGCAGCCCTGCCCCCCGGTCGCTCGCCTGTCACCACTGGGTAGTGGTTCCGACCCCTCCTGCGACAATGCACGCGACGCCCAAGTTGCCAAGCAAGTTTGGTTTGCTGCAGCAGAGGCCGACGTGTGAAAACAAGCTTCAGAAGCGATTCCTCTGACACGCTGTCTCTTGATTCTTGGGAGCTATTTTCAGTGGAGTGGGGCGATGAACTCGCCGACGACGTTGTTTCCCTCAGCTATCTTCTACATCGATTTCAAGGATGGACCTTGAAGTTTGCCTCTGCGGCTCCGGGCAGGTAAGAAGCTGAGGCTGCAGGCACTATGTGCAGGAAAGGGTCGAAGATGTGCAAGACCTACAGTGTCACATGTTTCCTCCAAGAAAGCCGGCTGTGTGCTGCATGAGGGATGGTTTGGCTGTTTTCACTCCGTCTTGACAGTCGCAGTCGACATCACCTAGGTCCTAGGTCAACCTCGGCCCTGCACGCATTTCAACACCGGCTGCCGTCCATCACCCAAGGTTCGCATCACGCCACCCTACTACAGCCCAGACCGGTTCCTCAACGGACTGTCAATGAGCCGAACCTTGCTGAGGTCCTAGCAAGAGGTGAAGCCTCGAGCATGCCTGGAGGTGCTACCGTCTCGGACCTCGGCGGTACTTCACGGCCCTTCTGATAACTTTCTATTGGACCGACTTTGTTTTTGAGGCTGCAGCGGCACCTCCAAATCAGGCGGCGGCCCGTCCCCGGCTGAGCCGGCTGCCCTCAGTCCGGTGAAGCTGATTCTTGCTGGCAGATTGCTGGCATTTCTTCCAAGTGCACCACGCGAAGGCTGTGGGGCCTGGAAGTGGCCGGGTCAGATGTCCAGCAGAGCCTGTGCAGGTGAGAATGTCGCCTTACGAAAGACTCTGTTGCAAAGCTTTTTGCGGCCTGGGCGACCCTCCCAAAGAGCAGCAGGACGCCAACCTCGCACGCAGCTCTCATGGTTACATACTGTCATTGTACGTCCACAGTATAGTCCTCAAGGTGCCCTTTTGTCAAGCCATGAAACCTACCTCCATTAGGTTTTTGAGCTTTGCTAGTAAGCTATGCGAGCATGTCTTCACAGTCAGAAGCGAGCCGCCCTGCTCGAAACTTAGATTCGATGTCTCTTTGCAGCATCCAGAGACACGTTAGCAACTCTGTGGTGCCTACAGCACTGACATATCATAATTATGGGCACAGTATGGCAGAGTCATAGTGGGAACGTGCCGTTCAGGCCTCGAGGACTTGGCGCGCCATGAGGCTGCCGCCGCTGACCAGCATGTCGACGGGAGACACTGGAAGCCTTTCGAGTATGTTGAGCGACATGGAAGTGCTTTGCAGCCTCTGACAACTATTGCGCAGGATGCTTCTCGTGGGAAACACAACATCAATGCTGTGATGGGGCATGAGAGCGCGAGATGTTGAGTTCTTGGGGCTGCAGGTGAGGCGGAAGGGATTGAAGGCTATTTGAGCTCGAGGGGCAGAGATGCCGGAAAATCGGGGCTCGTCTTTGGAAGGCCATCAGCGCCAAAAGAGAGCGACATCTTTACGTTTCCCCCCCGCCCCTGAGGCGCCGCGTGCCCGGTGATGGGCAGGGTCAAGACAGCGCACAAGTCTCGCTACAGCAATGACTGGACATCGCGTTGAAGTCAACTTTGGCGCGCAATGGGAGTGTGAAAGCATGTTGAGACTTTGGTGCGAAAAAGTGTGGTGATACTAACCAATTCAGATTGGACCTAAACGAACTCCGACTGTAATCTGAATTATTGACCGTTCGTCAAGGAGTTGGCTTCCAGCCCCCCTGTGCCCCTACACAGAGCAAAATGATCAGGCAGGCATCGGCAGAAATTGGAAGCAAAGCTGTGCCTCCACAGGTGGCGCTGGGTGCAGATCATGCCCTAGCACAGGACTTCGTCACATTGAGAGACCGCTGCCTTCACAACCGGCCTCCAGGATCCAAGCCGAACATCTCGTTCAGCAAATCGCCAAAGCCACCGTCTCTTGCGAACTGGCAGACGCTGGCTTGGTCATTTGTTCAACCGAGCAGTCTTCCGGCAGCCTCCTCGCATAATACAAAGTTGGGATCAGCGTGTCCTTGCCTCAGGCATGGCACATTTCAGGTTCATGTTGCCTAAGCAGTAACATTCCTTGCAATATTCAACTGCAGGCCATCAGCCATCACCACCGCCGTACCCTACACTCCCCGCACATTCCATCTGAACAAAGGTCCCAGCACGGCCAGGCGGTTCGATTGCCTCAGAAATGCAGAGACACCGGGCAGAAACAACTGCGCGAATGCGAGTCTGAGCCGAGGCGCCAGAGATCCCAAACCTTGTCGACTCTTGCTCGCCTCCGACGCGGGTGTGCATGCTTCGTCTCTCACACTCTGTGAATGTTAGGTCACGGACAGTTCCTGCAACTTCAGCCTGCACCCGCAGACATGGAAATTCGGGGCTGGGGAACGCCACAATCGCAAACTGGCCTGTCCGTCGAGCTCACCCGAAAAGAGCGGAGGATTGCCCGGAGCACCTTCAGCGGGCACGGGGCAAGCTTCGTGTTTTAGGTGGGCTTGGCTCCTGGCCTCGGCTCGTGAAAGCCTGCCGCTCTCTGACAAATTCCAATACCTCTGCTTCAGAGGAGTCGAGACTTCGCGGGAGCTCAGGGATCTCAGAGCCACGCTTGAACCATGCCTCAGATCGCTTCAACGCTTCAACTCGGGATGTGATGAGCATGTGAGGCCCCAGACCCGTCGCTCTTCAAGGTCTGGGGGGGGTCCAAGCTTCATGCATCGGAGGTGCTCCTGAAAGTGGCGACACTTAGCAACTTGCACACATCACAAACCAGGATAAGAACAGACGACAGTGCGCCTGCACATTCCGCCAAACCCATACCTTAGCCAGGTGTCCACGGTTTGGCATCTAGGCCTGATGCAAGCTCCTTGTCTTGACACGTATCAACCGAGGCGGCGGCAAAAAGCTCATGGGTAAGGAAGTCAGATGCACTTACCTTGCACACTGGAAGACGGGCCGCGATTTGTGATCGCAGGTTGGCAACATGTTGCACATCTTGCAGTGCAGTGAGCAGTGGTTGAGATGGAGACCTCCTGGCTCAACTCCGTGCCCACTCTACCCGCCTGGACATTTCACAAGGTCCGCTACTTACACGCTGTTCAATCCGACGCAGCTCAGTACCTCACCTCTATGGCATCAGCCTCGACGGGAAGAATGGAAGAAATCCTTCAAAGTGGGATGGCAGCCGCGCGCTGCAGAGACGTCGAATCGCTGGGTGAGTCGGAGTGGCCCTTGAGTTCCAAACGTCCGAAGCAACATCGATTTGGCCTGGGCCCAGCGCGAGTGTGCTCTGATGCAAACTGTGACACCTACGGCAGGACCTACGGCTGCTTCGGAAAAAGCCTTAGGAAAAGACAAGCTTGCCGTTGACACTGACTGTGTCCGAAGCCAAAAACTCGAACCAACGCAGCGGGTCCTGCATGCGAGGAGCAAGGAGAAAAGCCGAGAAGGGTTGGAGGACATGTCAAGTTGGCGGACCACTCCTCGCTAAGCGAAGGAAGCTGCCTCATGGTGATGGCATGTCGCCGGCATTCGGGGCACCTGGCACTCATCTCGCACGGAGACTTCCGCTAACTCACCTAGTCAATCAGCCAACAACCTGAACCTAAATCTCATGTCATGTGCTTCCCCATTTTCGCTGGCTGAGGCAGCTGCCTTAAGGCTTCCCCCTGGGTGTTGGTGGATGATGTGTAGCCTCGCCTGGCCAAACCGAAAGCGCTGGTCATGGGCCCCGGCCCTTTCTGCGGCTCCCGTGTGGCCAAGCACGTCAGGATGGCGCACACTTACTGCAAAGCAGGTGTAGGCAAACAGCAGCATCAGCTGCATCCACAAAAGCCACTGGGGTAGACCTGTCAGAAGCTACAGCAGCACAGATGTCGAAGTATACCCATCCTGCAACACTCCACAACATCAGAAAATAATAGAAACCATGCGTGCACACCCGGAGAGATGCATGTTCAGCAAGAAGCAGTCCTGACGGACCTGCCTACAAGGTTAAGCAAGACTGCTACAGTGAGCACTACAACAGGAGGCACCGGGGCCTGCAAAGTGGCTCCAAGCAAATGGGGCATTCTGCACCTGTGAAATGGCTCTTACATCGTGCAAGCTCCCAAAGCACCAACCAAAACATACGGACATTTGCCAACACACATCGGAGATGATTTCCGTCAACCAGACATCAAGGACCTCCGCGATCGCGCGGAAGCGCACAGGGGTCTTTCAGGAACTCCTTCGGCTGACACGGGGCAACTGAAGCACGAAAACAAAGAATTGCAGCTCTGCCGCTCCTCTTCTTCAGATGCTCTGAGATATTGCAGGAAGGAATCCAGTAGAAGCCTTGCACGAATCCAAGATCCCCACAGAACTGATGGAAGCACGTTCGGATCACGGTGCCTGTACTGATTGCAGCCAGCTTGGATCTGCAGAACTGCGTACCTGCGAAACTGCAATAATCACACAAAATAAATACCAGCGATGCGAAAATTTGCTTACCAGTAGTTCCTATCTGTCACGGGGCACCTCAGGGAATCTGAGCTGAGCCAGTACGGCTTCGGCCCAGGGCGTGCCTGCTGCACAATCCTGCACCAAGCCCAGCAGAAGGGAATCTGGAGTGAATCTGGTTCACAGAGCCACATTAGCGGATTATATTTGCACGAAGCATGTCTGCGTGCCAGAAAAATTGCTAAGCCGGTCTGGGAGCTGCATACTACTTAGACTAACCCCATGCAGGTAACCCAGCCGTTTTGTCTGCTGCCAGGCCCGCGCAGAACTCAGCGGCCGCCGGCAGAACGCAAGCAGCAAGTCTTCTCGGCAAAATAACCCGGTAAACACATGCACAGCATTGCACAGCAATGTCTATTCCCTCTATTGGTGATTATTGATTATTGATGCTCTCTGCATACATGTCCTTCATACCCCTTCATGGACTCAGGAACTTGCTTCAAACTTTTTCCAATGCAGTCCCATGCATTGCCCATGTATCCGGTCCTCTCGGCGACTCGACGCCAAGCCAAAGAACTGGCCTAGCATCGGAGAATCTCTAACTTTGACAAGCAGTCTGCTTTGGTTGTCACTGACCATCACAACAAACGAGGTTTCACAACAAATACAAATTTTCACCGATGACAAGCTGCCCTGCATGCGGCATTGGCCGGTAGTCTCAGCCTCCCGCTCTTTGGAGCGCCGGCATGAGGAAGCGCTTGCCGTCGATTCGCGCCAGGACTTCCAAGTTCAGAGTTTCTCAGAGTTTCTCTTTTCGCTTTTCTGGACTTTGCAGCTCGCCTCGAAGGGTGAGCAGAGGAAGCTCTGCTTGGAAGCAATAGCCCAGAAGCTCCTGGCAACGCCAGTGATGGAAGCGCATTCACAGTCTCCAACGCATCGTCGCAGAGGGCCAACCCGCTCCCGGAAACGACTGAAAGTTGAAGCTTTTAGACATCTTCGAGACCGCATCGGTCGCACCAAGTTGAACCGCCGGCCCAATCTCCGACACTCAACCGGCTCAGGGCTGGCAACTCTGTTGCGTTGGTTGGCACATTTGGCCATGGTTAAAGGGTTTTCTACTGAGGCCCTAGGCCCTATGTGCTGGTTCTTCGTCGATGCAAGGAAAGGGACAGCTCAAGTGGCTGCAGCCGCCTCGGCCATGCTGTCCGGTATTGGAAGCCCTGTCCAGGGTGCAAAACGATGATCACAAGCCAAGCGTAACACATCGGCAGTGAATCAAATAGGGTGCCTCTCGAGAGTGCTCCAGCAGCAATGTCTGGAAGACCTTTGCCTGCCATGCCAAGCACATCCGCGACAATGTTGCGGTTCGCTTTTGCCTTTGGCTTGCAGCCTTCTGCAGAGCGCGCAACCTCGGCCCAAGCGGCCCTGTCGCCCCTCAAGATCCTGGCCGCAAGTTCACTTCGGCTGTAAGTTGTGAAACAGTGGAACCGAACAAGGCCTCAGCCGCAAGCCACTGTCGAGGCCACTCAGCATTCCGCAAGGATCCTGCGGAGCAGATTCGCCGATGCCGTGACTTCGGAAAAACCAGCCAGCGCTCGCCAAGAATTTGCATCAAGGCCTCCTTGAGGATTGCCGCTGTGTAGGGCGAGAGTCCATCATCGGCCAAGGCACGTGGGTCCGCCTGAGCTGCCGTGACTTTCATATGAACTAGACAGCGAATGTCCCGAAAACGTCGTGATTCAGATCCATGCTCATCATTGACTCATCATCCTCATCTTTATGCTCGTTCTCATGATGATCCTCATCATCCTCATCCTCATCCTCATCCTCATCGCCAGCAACCATCTCATCGCCACTTTGGGCACACGAGGCACGTGGAACGACACAATTGTCGCGAGAATGGCGCCGCCGACGGTGCCACGGCGAATTCAAAAGTCTTGAGGGTCGAGCGCCGAGATCCAACGTCAGCTGCGCTGCGATCCTGGGGCCGGCCTCCTGCAACAGACACTCTAAGTATTCAACACGGCAAGGCCTCCCAAAACGACTGTGGCCTCCATCTCTGCAGCAATGCGAGCACAGGCAGCAGGATCCTAGCCGCTCTGGGCTTAACGAGGACTTCTGAGTTTGTGGCCAAACTGGTCGGGACGACACATGCGCCGGAGGCAACTTTTCCCGCAATAACACCGGCTGCCACAATCAAAGCAAACCTCACAAGTCATTCCGCTTTCGACAAAAATGCAAGCCCCACTTTTCTAGAACCTTGGACGCAGTGTCAAAGGCATCCAAAGCGGGTTCTCCGAGCACATTGCGGCAAGGGGTTGCGGATCTGGCCATGCCCAAAGGCTGCAACCTGCCGGCTGCGGATTCCCTCATCCACTACCGTCAAAGAGATCAGATGGGTGGTGCGAGCAGAGTGTCGCATCCTGTGCTGCTTTGCCCTTTTACTCTAGACGGTGTCGTGAGCAGCCTCGATTTCCAACTGCATGCCCGAAAACTGAGGCAAATTGCCAGTGAACAGCCGTCCTCCACATACGCTTCTCTACTAGTAGCCACGATTACGATCTACACTCCGTGGCGGTTGCAGTGAGGGCAAACCCCAAAACACATACCGCTGACCACCCACCAGGAAACATCAGACAGCTACCTCGTCAGTTTAGCTAATCGACCGAACAGAGACACCTCGTGTTCTGAGCAGGGCTTGCCCTCGCTTCTGAGATAGTCCTCTCAAATCCTCTCAAGCCTGCGTGCTTCCAAATTCCAGTCACCAAGAACTAGGAACTCGCTCCATTCTCTCAGGTCTCAGGCCTCGCCAGGTGCGACAAAGCGCAACGTCAATGCGACATCGTGGCCACCGTCTACCAGAAGCCGAACCTCGCTTGCTCAGCGACGCATACAACAGACCGCTTACGACGGGATGGCTGAGGCTTTTCAGGTCTCAGAGATGCCTGAAGGTAAAGTTGCTGTTGATCTGTTCACACGTCTCCAAGCACCCAGCTCCCTCGGTGTCTGGAAAGGTTGAAGGCGAGTCCACTTCGAGCTTTCCGTCGCATTCCTGCTGGCAATGCATCTCGTAAGTTGGGCCAACTCAACCCCCCCCCCCCACAGATATCGAGCCTGTGGTTTGCTCCAAATGCAAGTGGCCCACGGCGGATCCGTCCAGGAAGCAAGCGGTGTCCTATGCGCAAAACTTAACAAGTTGAGGACGTGTTTACCTGACAGCTCTGCAAGGAGTCCTGGATAACACGTCGTTTGGAGCTTGAAACCCTCTAGACCTGCTTCCAAAGTCACCATACTCGTCTTTGCTGCTTATGGATAGTCTGTTGGCGACGACAACAACGCACAAGCCTGGGTACGCCAATCGATATGTGGCCGTTGAACCAGAAGGTGTTGATGCAGACCTGGCGGGCCGGATAGCTAATTGCAGCAAGTCATGCCTCCCGTGATGGAGATGTCTAGACATGGCCACACGCAACACATTGCCAGGCCGACCGTCCTGATATGCAGGCACCACCAGTACTGCCTCTCTGGACACGGACATCGACCATATCGGCGCAGCACTTGCAGGCTTGAATGCCCCACACCTGGTTTTGCCCAGAATGACCCTCAGCGTGCTGCCTTCCAGCGCCTGCATTAGCGAAACCGGTCGGCCAAACATTCTTTCAATCTTCTGATGTCCGAGTACAGTCACAGAGTGGCCACGCTCCAGCCCTCTTGCATTTTGCTCATCGCGAGGTTGCGTCCAGCATGGACCGAGACCCTCGCTGAGGCCTGGATCGCACGTCTTCACAACGAAAAAGAGGTGGGTGCGGGTGGGCTGGTGCTTTCAAACTAGAGGCGGGCATGCCTTGAGACACATGATCAGGAATGGTAGGGCCTTAGAGTCACTTAGATGCAGACTCATTGTCGCTCCGCTGTCCGCATGCATCCTGGCAGCAGATTAAGCTGTCGCAAGTGGTTCTTTGCACAGAAACCCTGTGGCGGATCAAAAAGCATCTCCAGATACCTGGTGGACCTAGTTACTAGAAGCTCTAGTTCATGCTGCACGCTATATCCATCTTTACGAAGCGCTTCGTCCTTTTTTGCTCGGCCCCTATGTCGACACAGGCACGCTTGGAATCGGGCTCGGCATCGAAGGAGGTCAAATCAACTCCCAAGCTCAACGACTTACAGAGCTCGTAACGTTCTTCGGGCTCCTCGGCTTGCCGAGCGGCTTGATTCCAAAATTTCTCGACTTCTTGAATGGTCAAGCCTTGCTGACCAGATCCAGTTCGCAGATTGTGCTTGTTCGTGGCCCAAGCAGCATGAATCCCAATCTTCCGGAGCACCTGCTCCTTGTATTCGTCAGTGGTCCTTTCACCTTGCTGCGCCAGCTTGAGGCTGTCCTCAAAGGCAAGGAGCTGTCGGACGAAACCTGCATTTGGCCACAAACGCCACCGACTGGCAGCAAGCTGGTTGAAGGCCTCCAGCACGGATACCTTCAGTTCATGCACTAGGCAAGCAATGGCCACCGTCGCGCTGCGAGAAGCCCCTTGTCGGCAGGCGATTAAGGTCGCTCTGCCAGGAACAGCCATCACGAAATCGATGGCAGATGCTAGTAGCGATCCCAAGTCTTCGCTTGCACTGTCCCTCACTGGTACGATATGCAGGTCGGCGGTGGAAATACCTGCGATGGACAGTGCATCCTTCACCGCGGATACGTGGGCATCGCGCTCAGGCTTACCACAAACAACCACTCGTTTTACGCAGTGCTTCTGCAGCATGCTTGCGATAGCACTTGCTGACAGCCCGCCAAGCCCACAAATCTTTAGGTCATCAGAAATGCCGGCTATGTTATCGACCTGGGCATGAGGTGGCTGCCCATATGTCGCCCGAGGTTGGTCGGAAAACAGCTCCAGTTCTGCCGTACTCTTCCCAAGCAGAGCCTGCTTGCACTTTGCAAAAGCCTCTTCCAGGGGAAGCCCCTTGCACTGGTCCCAGAGATCCTCAGCTTCGGCTCGGCTTGCGTGGATCCCGTTGTGCCATGCCGTTGCCCAGGCTGCGTGAGCACCGATGCGACGCAGAACCGGCAGGCTGCTTGTCGCAGGCAGCACTTCTTGCTTCAAACATCTGCCTGCACGTGCTTCCAACGTCATGAGAGAGTCGACAAGCAAAGCGCTTGGCCAAATCCGCCATCTTGCGCTCGCGACGAGATCAAACGCACTCGCCAGATCCGCTCCCCTGCTCATTAAATATGCGAGCACGACAGCTACGCTTCGAGATGCGCCTTTGCTGCACGCGACGAGAACGGCATTTAGCTCGTCATCCAAGGCGTCCTGGATAAAGGCCACAGCGTTGTCCATAATTCTGCAGATATCAGACTTATCCTCTGGAACAAGAGCGGCAACATGAAGCTCTGTGCCGCCATCAACCACTGCTTCCCTGGCAGCCGCGACGTGCACATCTTGATCGACACGCCCACAAACAATCAGATGGGTAATCGCATGTGTCTGTAATAGCAGGCCAATGGCTCCCGGGCTTCCGCCTCCCACTCCGCCAATCAGAAGCCGGTCCTCACGGGCTGCTCACACAAAACCGACAAATCAAGTCGGCTGGGAAATGCCTGGACTTCCGAGACTTGTGGACATGGTCCAGGGTTCGCTGTCGCGGCCATGGCTGATCACTAGAGCACTGCAGCTCAGCTCATGTTGGCAGGGCGGACCTGGATCTGCAATGCTAGGTCCACCCAGTTGCTCCAGGCGGGGTGTCTTTGGACGACCTGTCTGTCAGCACGTTTCACGGATGTCTCTGAACCAAACGGCAACATGCAGTGCTCAAATCTGAGCCCAGAATCAAGAGCAGCGATTCGCCAGTGCTCCTTTCAAGTTTCAGTAAGCCGGGTCTCCTATGTCAGCATCTTTTGGCAGCAAAACATGAGCATAGTACGTCAGACTCGAGGCTGTACATGAGACAAGAGGATCGAAAGCTGGGCCAGAATCGATGAACACTACAAGTGGAAGACTCATTTCCAGACCACAGCTTTAGCAAGGTGCGTTGCATGATAATGTTGCATCCCAGCATTCACGCAGCGTCAATAGGACACATTCAAGGAGACGGCAGATTTGCTCGTCGTAGTGCAGACATCTGCTTGGATTCTTGCTGGCCAAGGCGGTTCAAAAATCACAGACCGAAGACTACTTGCGGTGGAGCTGGCGCAAAGCGAAGGTGCAGCCCTTTGTGCCTGGACGTCTGCCAGGCCAATGAGCAAGACTGCACGAGCTATCAAGCTGCCAGGCTGCTCCACAGAAATACATGTATGTCAACACAATAATATTCCTAAACACCACGTTCTCTTGCACGAGCCTCCAACTCGCTGGAGCAGGTAGCGCTCCAGAATTCAGCAACCGGAAAGTTGCGACATCGAAACGTGCCAGAAAAGCTTCCTTGTGGAAGCTTTCCTGTCTAGATCTGCGTTGGCAGAATGAATACCGAGTGCAAAATGAGATCGTGTGTTCAGTGCTATGGACCGTCCTAGCAGCCCTGATCAGTCTGCACCGGCAAAGACATGCTCAAAGTGCTCGGCCTCAACGGCTCAGTCATCATCCTCAGGCTGTCAAGGTGCTACAGGAAGCTGCCGTCATTCAACTGTCTCGTGCATGGAGCGTGGCTCCGGGGCCAAAACACAAAGTCAGCAGGCAAAGGATCAGACAAGACCTAGTTCGGCAGATATATTTCGGGTTGCCAGCCGGGGTTCGGAGTCCCAGTCGTTGGCTTGTTCCCCCTCGGGAAACTCCACACGCACCTGGGTCAAAACGTGCGAGCTCCAAATCGGCTGCTTGCATGAGCGTGTACATCGCTGCAAAGCCAAGCGTGGGCACATCGTAAACAAAGCCCTCGTCCGATGGCTTGGTCTGGTGAGCCCGGAAACTGATGTCCATGCGTGCCTGGTCTGAACTTGCCATCACGCGCGCGGTCATAGCACAACGAAGCAAGGAGGCACCTTGTGTTGCGCAAGTTCGTCATCGTCAAGCTTGTTTAGATTGACCTCCCAATCGCGAAGATGGATATGGACCCATATGGTTCGCGAGACAGAACTTAGGTTTGAATAATTCCAGCCTGATGGTAATCGACCTCTTGGTTCGTCGGCCTGGGGTCCGTGAGGGAATGAACGATCTTCAAAGGGTAGGCCGGGTAGGCATGTCTCCACTGGCCGTGCAGTTGTCTGGAGCTAGTATCAAGGGCATTTCTGCAACTACACTCCGATGTCTGCACTTTCTGCTGGCTTCAATGCTGCTTTGGAGCGCGATGCGGTGCACGGCTGTACATAGACCACAGCACCGCGTACACACAAACGTGCCATCTACCATCATCTACCCGAATGCATCAGCCTGTCACCTCTCTTCCTGCTCCTCGCTGCCGCAGCCACTATGACAGACTCCGCTCTTGGCAGCATCACTGTCTCGCATCCAGATGCTTCCAACGCTTCCTGGGCCCCCAGGATTCTCCACCAAAATCGAGGTCCCAACCGAATGCAGCAGCGGAGATATATCTTCTTGCTGTAGAGCGCAAAAGTTGATCGGACAAGCGGGAAAATGAACGTGAGACCAACAGCTATGCGTGTGGCCACAGCCAGAAGATCTCCGGAGCCCGATCTCTGATCCGCTACAAGACGCATCGTCAATATCCTGGATGGCCTGCTGCTGTGAGAACCCTCAGGATACTTCCTGTGTCCGACCATCCTGTCCAATGTCAGAGCCCTCAAGAGATGAAGCTCCAGGCACAGTAGCTTGGACTGGAAGCTTCGTTGAGGCAGTGAACTTCAGGACTATCTCGAACGAATTGTCTCACTGGAAGCTGCACTGGTCTGCTGCTTCAACCAGCCTGAAATCGGGCTTCTGCATCAAGCACTGCGAAGAAGAGAGTTGGTTGACTTCAACAACCGCAACAGTAAAAAAAAGCTTTGTGTCTTAATCTAAGCCCAGGTACAGTTGCCACATTGGGCTTTGCCCCCGAGCTGATAGATCACCCGGCCGTCCGAGTCCTCCAAACCTGAAGAGAACTAGCTTGGTTTGCGTGGAGTTGGAGACTTGAAGTATCTTCAAGTCCTGCAGGACCGGCCAAGCTGCTGCAGGGTCCACCAAACTGGATCAAGCTGCTAACATCACGGCCAAAGGTCATCGCGGCGGCTTCATCGCAGGACGGGCAGGTCGGCCAGACAGCAAAGACGGCCAGATTCTCAGCGTCGACCTCTTGCATAGCATGCTTTGCCCATGTTCAGCCGGACATCAAACAACCAAGGCCAGACTATGTAATGCGTCGCTGAGCGTAGCCTTGCTGAGAACAACCGAGCAGCGCCTGCATACCCAGCGTCATCTATCATAATGTGAACCTTGAGCGCTCTCACGGCGCTTGACCACCCATGCCACGTACGATAAGAGCTCTGCTGTGCATTCGTCGAGCTCAGGGCCTGGCTACCTCTCTCAGTTTGGAGCCATTCACCAGCATGTCAGGTAGCCTATCTCAGTGTGGTGACAGCAGGACTTCACGAGGCGCAGATGCACGCGCAGGCGCGGGTTACGGGCCATCGCAGGCGTCTCCTGGCGCCTTTCGCCGAGCGGCGGCCGGCTGCGCCTGCCGAAGCTGGGCTTCCAGCAGCTGCCGCGCACGACGAAAGGCGCGGCCAGCTCCTGGAGCTGCTCAGCGGGACTCAAAGCCCTGAAAGGGGTGAGATCGGCCTAGATCGGCCAAGGCACAAAGCAATCGCATCGAGAGCCGAATCCTGCCCATGTGGCCAGGATCTGCCTCGATAACTCCGCAGACGCTTCGCATCGCTTCGCGCTGCAGCACTGCTGGGGTGTGTAGTCAGCTCAGCAGAGGACTTGAGCTCCCCAAGCTCCACGGTGTCCGGAATAAGCCGTTCGAAGCTGCTGCAGGGCTCGTCTGCCCCACGCTCGAAGCCATCTCCGAAGGTCACCCGAATGAGAGCCATTGGCTTTGGTGTCCCATTATCTTGAGCATGCTGCAGGACTGACTTGACTCTTGACTTCACGCTTCAGGTGACACTGCAGGTGAGACCTCGAATGTTCGTCCGCGCAGCTGAGCATGCCGCGTTGCCGCGTCATCAGATGCCTTCACGCCATCATGCGACCTTTGTAGTAACGGAGAAGCAAATAAGCTATCTAAGAAGCATGATGCAGCCTTTACTGACTCAGACTACAAAAATGGATTACCAGCGTCCTAGGCTCGGGGATGAATGTCGCTCGACGTGTTGCACACGCTGCCTACTCCTACTCCAAGTGAACGGCATTGCGTCTTGAAGCTTCTTGACCTTTGCAGGGTTGAAACCATCATGTTGGATTCGGCACAATGGCCTCTCACACCCGAATGTTCTTGGGCAGCGGCGAGCGAAACGATCTGATCAAAGCAAACACCGCTGTCCTGTTGCAGTAGCTGCAATGGCACACAACACTCAGTATGGCCCACGTACGGCTTGAAAAGTGCCAAAGCTGCCTTCCTTTCTTTGGGCCGAGTTGGGCAACGAGCAATTAAAACAAAATCTCTCCGCCCTTCTTCGGATTACTGACGTTACAGCTGTGGCTTGCCTCAGTAAGCAGCGGCCGGTTCTTCTGGCGCAACCTGCGGCCGTGTGTTCCGAAATCGCATCAGGTAGGTTAGTTCATTTCACGCAAGTCGAAATTTCCATCTGCGCTTCGAGGGGTTCTGAGGATGTTACTTTTCTGCCACTCTTGCCGGGTCCGCCGAGGCCCGTAGCCGCTTGAGCGCGACCTGCAGAACAGCTGAAATTTGCTCGGTCTTGCCGCAATCGTCACAAGAACTGGACAGTGGCATGGCTTGAATGATTGTTGCTTCACCAATGGATAAACATCAGCTCACACCTTGCGGTGGAAGAGCTTGCCGGTCTTGACCTGGTGCAAAAGGAAAGCAAGAAGATGTGCTTGCAAATGTCTGCACGGGGTCCGTCTTAAGATATGACTCGTGGGACCGCACCTCCAAGTACTCCAGAATGATCGCTGGCGGGTCATAGTTGAGCCCGAAGCGTCTTGGACAGACCTGCTCCGGTTTGGCACACATCATACCCGTCGTATGAGCCAACGCCGCAGAATTAAAAACGCGATCAACGCTGGCCCCGCCGCCTCCACACATTGAGTAGCCACTGATCACACACACACACACACGTTCACACGTACTTGCGCATTCATCCGCAGCCTCCGACCGATGGTCAAAAGCTAAGCCCCATGTTCAGAATCTATATCGGGCCCGAAACCTGTCATCTGGCCTGAAAAGCCTCATTCACTCTGGTTGCATTCGCTTCTTGGCCAGTACAGAGCAACAGCTTTGAGGGTGTAAAGTTCGGGTGGCCATAGCAGGTACATGGCCTGAATCCCTAATCCATATCACGCCAATCCATATCACGACAAGCTGGAAACGTGTTCGTTGGGCAGTGCCTGCCACTTGCAAGTTCAAACTCCTCCGGAAGCTGCCCTTAGTCACAGGGCCCCCTGCCTGCAACCCCTCCTCACGTGTTATGGGGAAGCATAAAGGCTAAAGGGCACGCCAAGGCAAACATCTGCTGCCCAAGGGCAAACGAGCTTCCCCCTCTATTTCTCTCCCAGGCATACGGGGCGGGTCAGGCACCATTGAGTGAAACGAGCT